AAGTTTTGTACGGCAATATGACCGACGTCTTCTCTGGTGGTATCGTCTACGAGTGGTTCATGGGCGCAAATGACTACGGACTCGTTTCATTGGCTGATAACGGCGCAAGTGTGTCTCCATACCCCGACTTCACGTCTCTACAAAGCCAGCTTGCTTCCGTTACTCCGACCACCACTCAGCGCTCCGAGTACACACCTACCAATTCAGCACCCGCCTGCCCTTCAGTGGGTGGAACTTGGCTCGCGCAAGCTTCTCCGTTGCCTCCCAACGTAAACCCTCAGCTATGCGCGTGTATGGTAGACAGTCTACAGTGCGTCTACACTTCCGACGACGACGACGCTTACGCCGACGACTTCAACTACATCTGCGGCGAGAACGAGGACTACTGCAGCGGAATTGCGCGCAACTCTACAACTGGCGACTATGGTGCCTATTCTGGCTGTGATCCCAAGGACCAGCTCGCTTTCGTTGCAAACCAATACTACATTGGTCAGAAGAAGCGCGCAGATGCCTGCAGTTTCTCGGGTAGGGCAAGTACTCAGAGCGCATCGACTGCGAGTGGTTGTGCCTCGTTGCTGAGTGCTGCGGGCAAGAACGGTGACGGCACCGTACCCACTGCTACAGGCAAGGGCACAGCAGCTGTGAGCGGCGGCAGTGGCAGTGGTGGAGCAGCAAGCTCCAGTAAGTCCGAGGCTGCTGCTCCTAGCGTTAATGCCCCTGGCTTCTTTGCCCATGGTGATTTGGTCATGGGTGCATACGCTGTTCTGGCAGCAGGAAGTTTGCTGGGCATGCTTGTACTATAGGTTAGCTGGAGAGAGGTGTGGTGTGGTGATGAAGCATGCTTGGATGCTATGCAGTGAGCCTATATGCTGAGGAGCAAGTGTTTGGGGGCTTTTTTTTTTGGCGTTTTTAATCATTGTTACAATTGACCAATATAGTTCAACTTTCTCTCAAGCTTAACTAGCTGTACGTACCACACGTGAAGACCAGACTCGGTGACTCTCGTGGCCGACAAATATTCTCAGTCTTGTCAGCATTGCTGATCTCCCATTGCTTTGACACGCACCACCTCTTCAACATCAACAAGCATCACAATTATCAAGAACAACGCATTGCACCAACTTCAGATATATTCTATCGTCTACAAGCTGGCCTTTTCTTCTTATTTATTTCTTTCTTCGCCCCCCGCTGCAGTAGCGAAAGACATTGCTGTTGTTGCTTTCAAGACAACGTCTCGTGCCCCATAGCCTCACTGTACATTAGAGTGACCAAGATACCGTACGTATGTAAAGCCTATCCTCTCATGAGGGGATATCGCTGTAAAAAGGGGAAAGCCCTAACCCAAATATACAGCATCCCCGACGCCGACGCTGCGCTTGAAGCCAAGAACCGACATTATAACACTCTGCTGAAATCAATGTGAAGTTGATGGTTTATGAACCTCGAATACATCAAAGCCTGTAATTTTAGCTTTGTAATCGAGTCTGTAACATGCTAGTACATGTTGGGTGGTCCAGGACGACCGGGCTGCTGGCGGGGAGGCCCACTGAATTGGCCATCGAACATCATACGTGGGTCTTCACCTCCTCGCATGCCAGGCATTGGAGGTCCACCATACCCAGGAGGTGGGAAGTAGCCTGGCGGACCCTGCATGCCATTACCACCAGGTCCTCCGGGTCCGCCTGGAAAGCCCAATCCGCGGATATTGCCGGCAGGCGGGAAGCCAGGGAGGTGGCCAAGTGGTGTGTTGCCTGCTGAGAAACTCGGCCCAGGGCCCATTTGTTGACCATTGGGACCATTAAGGCCAGGTGGTTGACGCATTGGACCACCAAAACCGGGGGGAGGAGCGATGTTTGGTCGTTCTTGGGGTGTTGGCGGCATTCCTGGTTGACCGCGTCCGCCCATGTACGGCATGTCCGGTACAGGCTGCGAAGGAATACCCATATTGGTCGGCATGCGAGGGTCGCCTCCGGTGTTACGGCGCTGAAGGCCCATAAGTGGATCCTCGGGGGTGGGGTATCCCATTGGCATGCGTTGATTCTTTCCTCGCATGGCCTCCTGTTGCTGTTGTTGTAATCGTTGCATATGTTGAAGCTCCAGCTGGCGGTCGGCTGCATCACGACGCATCATCTCATTCTCTGAAAACATGCGAGGGTCTTCCATGAAGCCGGGAGGCAGAACACCTCTGCCTTTGGGTTGGTGCTGAGCCGGAATCTGAGGCTGCTGTCTTTGCTGATCGAAGAAGGGCATGTTATGACCTTCCTGGGTCGGGCGAGGCAAATTATGGCCCTGCACTTGAGGTGGTGTACCACGAGAAGGTTGTTGCATCAGATTCAGCAGGAAGTCACGCTCACGCTGCTTGGTCGCTTGATCACGCTGTGATTCCTCGCGTGCACGACTGTTCAACAGAGCCGCAAGGTTTGCGTCTTGAGGACCATTGCGTTGCGGCGGAGGCTGATGGGGAAAGTGATCATCTGGGTGACTAGAATCGGGGCGTGGAGGTCTGAATTGATCAGACATTGCATTCTCAGGCGACATGCTGCTGAAGCGCGATTGCTGTGGAGGCCGAGATTCGGGTGGGCCAGCGCGTGGAGCCAGGATGTTCTCCAATATGCTCTGCTGTTCGAGTGTCCTTGGTGGTGGTCTACCATGTTGCGGGTCCGGCGGCGGCGATTGCTGGTGGAAGTCTAACGAGATACCTCCACCGTGCCTCATACCATTTGGCGGTGTGGGCATCGTTGTTGGAGGTTGAGGTCCTGGAGACGGGCCCGTACTGACTTGACCAAGCATCTGGAGAATGCGCTGGAAACCTTCCTTGTCAGCGTTCGCCTCCATGGCTGGTGCTGGGGACGCAGGTGTTGGAGCTGGAGCTTGGCCAGATGCTGCTTGTTCTTCTGGTTTTGCAAACATGGTCATGAACCTCGATTTCTTGTCAGGCTTGGGTTTCGCCGAGATGGTCTCTACTGGTGGGATATCCGCTGACTTGTCTCTACCCCAGTTGCCGAAGAGAATGCCCTGTGTAGGCTCCGCTCCAGAAGGCGTGTGCAGAGGGGCGGTTAGCATGGGCGGAGCGGTGATGGAAATGGCCGTAGATGTCTCGGCTGGTACCTCTCTCGATTCGTCCTTTTCGCCAGCTGGCGTGTCCTTGGCCCTCATCTGCTCCTTCCAGCGCTGGAAATCTTCTTGTGTACGAGGCTTGAACTCCTTTTTCTCGACCTTGGTGTCCATCCATTCTGGGTCTTCTTCTCCGCCTGCACGATTGCCACCTCTGTTCCACTCACGGCCGTTGTCCCGTTCTCGGTCTCGGTCGCGTTCACGCCAGCCGCCCTGTACACCAGTCTTGATACCCTCATCCTTGTCATCACGGCGACCCCAGCGCGGTTCGTTGCGCTCGCGATTGCCACGGCGCGGGGCTACGTCCATCTCAGGGTCACCCTCATGCTTGTCGCGATTGCGGTCGCCGTTGCGGTGAAAACGCTCAAAGTCCTCCTGACCCAGACTCTTGCGTCCCTTGACGTTGGTCCAGCCCTCACCGTCCTCTCGGGGAACGCGACGGCCGTTGGTGTAGCCCTTGTCTCGGTTGCGGTCGGTTTCGCGGTCCCGCGTCCACCGATCGTTCTTTGGGAAGCGGTCGCCAACATTGTCTCCGTCTGTAGAAGTGAAACCTGTGCGTTCCTTTGCGTCGCCCGTTCCCTTGGCCGGCGTGCGTGCTGACAAGAAGGCTAACTTTGGCGGGCCAAGCACCGTCTCTTCGCCAGGTTCTACAAAAAGCGCGTCAATAGCGGCCTTGATGCCCTGAACATCAGAAGACTTACGTATGCTCTGACGCCGACCGAACTGGCCCATGGGGTTGATCAGCGGCCGCTGCTCATTTGGCGTGGCCCCTTCTCCGTCTCGAGCGCCCCGAGTGCGACGCATAGTGCCGTTGTTATTGTTGGCGTGGCCATTGTTGGTGTTTTGGTCGGCAGGCACGTCCATCCATTGTGAGATTGAAGGCAGTCCATCAGGCTTCTTGACTAGTGGAGACTCCTTCAGAGCCAACAGGTCAGCCTCCGAATAGGTAGGCCCCCGCATTCTCGCGAGCTCAGCGCAGCGCGAATGTGCAGGCAGGTATAGGGTAGGTTAAGCTTGTCGTGTTCAGCGTCGAGAGACGAGCCGTTATGTAGGTGGTAAGGTGTTTAGTGAGTGATGATGGGTGAAGAGACTGTCTCGAGACAGCCGGGTGGTGAATCGCCTGTCTCGCTTGCAATTGAACAATGCCCGCTCTGCAACCCTTTTAGAGACTGAGAATGGGACGTCGACGATGAATGCGATACAAATGGACGTTTGCGATGGGATGATGTTGAGCGATTGCAGTATGGGTCGAGTTCGAGGCGCGTGCGTATCGCAAGTTGCTGGGCGAGGTGAAGGAGCTCGAGGTGGGATGCAACGTGGTAGGGGAGTAGCGCACCCCTGCTGCTGTAGCGGCGACGGAAAGCGGAGAAGAAACAATTGCGAGCTCACGTCTTTACGGCAGAGCAGTAATTTCGGAATGGAAAAGTCTCGGGTAGTTATGGGGCACTTTGGTTTAAGCAGCGGGCGTGTGAGTAATAGCGCAGGTGTTTGTTGTGGTTTTGTGTCCCAGGTCGCGAGTGGTGCGGGTCTCTCTGAGAGCCAGCCCTGGAGACACGCGCCAAGCAATGCTGCGGGAACAAGTAGGTGCGTCATATTGGGGTCCGCGACATGTGCCCACAGCGTGCACTACACCAGGTAGACATGGCCTCACGTTCATCATTATCAGATTACGGCACGGATACGAAAATCAGACCACGTCGCGTGACAATGACTGCCTGGAGTTTTTGCTAGGCACTCGCGCCACAGATGAACTATGCATGACCCCCAAATTAGGAAGTCGCAAACAACGCCCTGTGTTTAAACGGAGGAAACACGCTGCAATGCTCTCGAATCGGTTTCCCAAACGCCTCATAAGGCTCAAAGATGCGTACTAAGACTAAACAACATCAGACCTTCGCAAGGGAGGCCATCGTCTGTGCGAGGCTGTCACTGCTCCACGCAGCTACCTTCTCTCGATCGCACGTTTCATAGACACGTCCTGCTAGTGTCTTCAGTGCACGGTGTCGCGGATCGTAGCCATCGAGCATCATCTGGATCCATGGGATAAGCCCACACCTTGTGATGAGCGTTGTACTGCCTCCCACATGTGTTGCTCGCAGCAGCAGCCTCACAATCTTGTCCTTCGCCGAAGCTGGACACGATCGTGATCCGTAATGAGTCAACAACTGCTCGAATATGTTGCTCCTTCGGAACAACTCCATATCTGCAGGCGTCCGCAGACTGTCCATGAGGTAGTCAAAGTACCAGTCCACTTCCTTGTGATACGTTGTATCGTCGTCAGGTTGGCTGGCAACGATGCGATGCCAAAAGAAGCGTAGTAGAGTGGTAACATCCCAGGCTGGGGCGGTGGTGAGAAATTTGTTTACTGTGCTGAAGAGAGAGTGCGTGGGATCCGCCACAATACCCGCACAACGAGCGGCCAGCACGCCGCCAACGTACGGGAAAGCTTCGGCACCAGTCAAATCCACCGATTCCAGGAGCTCGCCGAGGAGGAGATAGAGTTGCTGGAGTTCAGAGTCCATATTGCTTCCTTGTTGTCCTGCAGCGGCCTCGTCCTTTCCGGGTACATGACGACTGCTGGATTGTATTGTCGCCGTGAGCTGTCGAATGTTGTTGATGGCTTGTATGCGAATTTCTGTGTGCTCAGAGCAGAGGCACAATAGTAGTTCCCCAATATCTCCATCATCAAGAGCTTCGCCAAGCTCCTTCTTCCTCCATCGTGTAAGTCCGGTATGCTTTTCGTCTTCCACAGGCGGCGCCTCCAGGTCGATAGCAGATCTAGACTTGCCTTGCTGCTCAGTCTCTTCCGTGGGCCTGGGGACCGGCGATGTCGAGGATCTTTCCGAGCCACTGAAATCTGCTCCAGTTGCCAGCTTCAAGGCCTCCTTAGCTCTTTCCTTGCCCATTTTCCACAGAAACGCATCCTTCAAGACCTCTTTGTATGCCACGTTCGCAGACTCTACTAAAGCATTGCGTACATGCTCTAGTTGCGTCTCATCTTCGCCAATCAATTTGAGAAGATATAGAAGTCTCGACAACCATTGCGCGATGGTATCCGCCGTAGTGCCTACTGACGTCTCCCCACCCTTGAATGGCCACTGTTCCACCAAAGTCATCAACAGTGTGCTGAAGGGGCCAAGGCTGCTTGCAGATTGCCCAGTACGTTTACGCATGGCATCCAGGTCATCGAAGTATTTGATAGGTACTTTGGTGAACCGCGCGCAGCAGTCATCTAGGAACCCCAGGACGTCGCAGGATGGTGTGGCCGACCCAGAGGTCGACCCCAAGCTTGCGATAAGAGCATCAAGCGCATCGGGTGAAGTTTTCGTCTGCAGCATTTCCTGGTCGTGCAAGATGTCGCTTAATAAGGATCTAATACCTGTATACAGTTCACTCTCTTTCGACGTTACCAGCAGCTTAAGAAGCGTCACAAACGGTGAGTACTGGAGTGATTCTGCTTAGGTTAGTAATGGAACTATTGTAGCTCAAAAGAAACCTTACTCTGCTTTTGCCACCATCGCATAGCAGGCGAAAGCTTTGCCATCTGTATCCAGTGCTCAAGTTCCATAATACGGAAGACTTTATCTTCAGGTGATGCTGTAGGCTTGTCGGCCTCCACTAGCGCATTGCATAGCGGTACCGACACGTCGAATTTCTCTTGTAGCGCAACTTGGGGTGTGGCTTCGTAGTAAAGCCGCAGTAATCTGGTAATTGACTCTCGCTTCATGTCTTTCAGACCCGGCTTCTTGAGCGCCAAGAATACAGTGCGAATGGGTGGGCAACGCCGACTGACTTCTGAGATCAGACGCTTAGCTGCTTGGTTCCATTGCTTAGAAGATCTGGTAGCACCGGCATCATTGAGCTCTCTAAGAACAGCTTGTAGCTTCTGAAGCGCTACTATCAGGACACGGATAGCGAATAGCTGAATAAGGTCGGAGTTGTGGTTGAGACATTTGGTAAGAACTTGCTGATTCAGTGGTTGTGGCAAGATGCTGTTCATCAGCACGGGTACTGGAGGTGGGTGGTCGCGGAAGCTTCTCTTCGCACCGAAGTACTTGGGCACGGGGAGCTGGATAGCTTGATAAAGGAAAGCAGAGTATCCTATCCATGTCGAGGTGAGCTTGGGATCGTAGCTAAAGTCGCGTCGCTTGATGAAGTAATCTGCAACCAGCTCGGGACAGGCTCGAAAGATGTCAACAACAAGCTCTTGGTGAAGGGTATTTGCGTATGGTCTTTGACTCTGTATAAACTCAGAGAGAATGACGTTCCGCACTTTGGGAGTCTTGCTATAGTTGTCAACTGACTCGAGGCCCAGGTCATTGCCGTAATCAGCGGCATCGTCCTGTTCGCCCTCGTCGTCATCGAAGGTCGACGGATAGAAGCCTTGTGTAGGCAGCATAACACCATAGCCAGGATCTGTACAGACCAGGCGAAGGAAGTCATGCGCGAGCTGATCAGGTGCCTTCTGTCCTTCCGAGAGGGAGCCTTCCTCCACCTCGTAACTGTACAGACTAGCTATGCGAGAGAGTGCCTTTCCGTTCAAGATCCTACTCTTTGTGTGTCTCGCGATAGCCTTGTCCTGGAAAACATGGCTTTTGAACACATCGAGTATCTCGTAGATGAGGAAAGGCGGGTCTGCGCGGATATGATCGAAGACAGCACGGACAACGTTGGTGTTTGATAAGATTTCGCTCTTTGCCCGCTCGTCCTGATACCTCAGGTGCATTAGCAGATACCTGATGGCTGTCGTGCGAATGCTTGGTTTCTTGACATGGTCCGCCGCCGACTGCTCTCTTCCAAGATTGATGTTCCTTCCAAGTATTTTGGGCTCAAGTGTAAAGTCCCTCTTCGCGTAGACGGCTCTTGCATGCGCACCCTCGTTGAAGCGTACAAGCTCGGTAAGCAATCGCAATGCCGGCGCAATGACATTGTCCTCTTTGGGTGCTGCCGATGTACTACGGACAAAACGGCGAGCGATGGATGGCTGCAGGAGTGTCTTGGCAAGAAGTGTGCCGTACTCGAGGAAATCACCGTGGCTGGCAAAGACCTTGAACAGGAGCGCGAGCACAGCTGTTACCTGCGAGACAATCGCACTGTAGTTGGTTTCCACAGCATGATCCCACCCCTGGGTGAGGTTCTGCAGAAACGACTTGTCCTGTTCATCCCGTCCTCTTCCTTTTTGTGTGTCCAGGTACTCGCGAAGTATGGCTCGCTTGCGGGGCAGGTCGTGCTCATCGGTTGGGTAGAGGATTGAGTCGAGGAAACGCTTGAATAAACTCAGGCCTTTTTTGTGTCAGATCCAGGTCATTACAAAGTCTGGTTGTGCCTACCACTTCGAAAGTCGCCTGAAGAGCTTTGGTCGAAGAACAGAGCATTTTGTAAGTCGCGCGCCGACGTGATTTCTTCAGCGCTGCCATTCGGTCGTGGTGAGTTGCGCTCTGCCGCGTGATCGACTCTTTGGCGCTTGGAGTCGCGATCAGAATGCGCGCTCTTGGTGTTGGCCTCGAAAGCCGTTCTTTTCCCCATGTCGCATGTCCCGTTGTAACTCACAATCGCATCTCTCAAAAAGTTCTGGAAGTTCTCCCGGGATACGTGCAGGGATTAGCGCGCTAGCCCGAGGTCCATGCGTGCTCCAATCGGCGAATGTCAGCCATAACTCCGCACTTCAGTCCCTCTTGTTGTCCTGTATCATCTTCGACCACCTGGCGTCGTACAGCATTGAAGTGTCTGTCGCAATGATTTGACCCGGGTGTCACTGGGCTTCAACATTGTAGTAAGCAAACATGTGCAGTGAAACCTTTACGTCAATTTTCCACAATTCTTTCTATTGTTCGATATGTGATGTGATATATTGTCTACCTATCCAGAAGCGAATCTTTCTGCCATCTTTCCAATTACAATATCCTAGGATGACAAAGACCAAGATGCGATTGTGACTCTGCAAGAGCTCAATATGTTTCCTCTAATGGTGGTGGGATGGTCCCGATAACTTCTTCGTGATAGCGTGGTAACAGCAACAGAGATGCATGATATACAAAAAGAGAGAATGACAAAGACTCCAAATATGCCGTAGTGTCGCGATACCATGCAGATGAATCAGGGCTCGAAAATGAGTCGTGACTTCGGCCCAAAGTCCCGCGCGACGAGTAAGACCCAGATATAAAACGCCGTACAAAGTTTTGATGGTAGGTTGCCGCTAAACAAGCAGATCCGAGATATGTTCAAATAGAGAACAGGGTATCATGTAGCGACGTGAAAAGGAAAAAAAGAGGTCAAGGGAAAGAGCAGCGAAAACGGGAACTATTGTTGGGTATTTTGGAAGGATAATTTCTGCGTGTTTTTTGCTATCGTTTTAAGGGTTTGTGGTACTTTGAGCCCGAACTTATCGAGTTGTTCTTCTCGCGGATTTTTATTGTTGGTGGAGGTTCCTGGTTCTTGACGGAGAGGAGGGCTGAGATGGCAAGGGTGATGAGTGTGATGAGCTCTGCGGTAGCTGCACCAATAGCAGTGTAGAATGCGACACCCTATATAGTGTGTTAGTGGTTGTTGTAGTTGGAAGACGCGGATCTGAATTACCTGCTCTTCGCAGACAGCGCGGTACTGGTACCGTCCATTGGTCAAGACATTCGCGTTGGTGCACGAGTACCTTCCCAAGCTGGCTTTACTTGCCTTGTCCAACAAGTTGAACACGACCAACGCTGTGACCCACATGATGACTCCAAAGCTTCCAGCGACGATGCGGTAGACGTCCCGTGAGCGAAATGGTCGGCGGAAAGAGCGCTTAAAGGACAGGGTGAGGATGGCGACCGAGGCGAGGAAGTTGCCGGCGGCAATGGCAAACAGAACAATAGAAGGCGCGAGGTTGGTGTGGGCAGGCCAGACCATGGGCAGCTCGCCCTTGCGCAGATCGATATAGCGGTTGCCGCGGTAGATTTCAAACGTGTGCATGAGCATGCAGACGACGGCGCCGCTGAGAACGATGATGAGTAGGCGAAGACATGACCGGACTCGACTGAGCCAATGCGCTCGCGACGAGATGGCGAGCTCGAGAGGCATTGGCAGCCTGGGGGACTTGTAATTGGCGTAGTCGGCGGCCTTGTAGGACGAGAGAGAGCCGACGAGTCGCGAGAGGTTGTATGGAGTCGGCGGGGGAGGCGACGACGGCGAGGGTTCGGTAGTGGTAATAGTGCAGGTCTGGGCAGAGCTAAGACAAGTCGTCGTGGTGGATGTGTAGTGATTCGACGCGAAGTAAGCTCTGGCCATGATCTTGGGAGAGGTGTCGGCACAGGCGTGGCAGCTAGGCGTCGCGCACCCCTCGAGTGCTAATGGGGGCGTCGAGGTTTGCCGCAACAGTGGATAGAGAGAGTCGCGACGGGCCCAGAGGACATGTGTCGGAGCAAGACGAGGTGTGATGGACGCGGCAGGAAGAAATGGCCGTGACATAACCCCCTAGCCCTAAGCAACCTTAACGAGGCTGAGTCCCGGGGACGCTTGTTGAGCTCTGCCGATCGACTTTACGTCGAGACTCTGCATGCGCCAGACGCGCTCGGCTAGTATGCACTGGTACGCATCTTGTCTGCATCGACCCATTCAACTACTCGCTTGCCAATTACTTTCTGCAGCCTGCATCTGCTTTCCATGGCGCATCGTGAAGTTGCTCAGGCAGACGCTCCAGGAAGGCGCGACCTGCACTAGCGAAATGGTACCCGGAATAGCCAGATTGCGCCTTCCCTATTGGCCCCGCGTTTCACCCGCGCCTCCAGAATCCATCTTCGTCATACTGTTTGCGCCTCATGTACGATATTTCCTTCTCGTACAGCGCTCACCTCGTCCTACACTTTCTGACATGCACACGGCAACTGCCCACTCGAATACCCGCGCTGCCAAGCAACACCTCTACCATGTCTAGGCATCCTGCTGATATCACACATTCCTAGCATCGTCTTATTGAGCGTAAGACGCGCGTTCGTCGCAAAAAGGCGTCCAATGGCATCCTCGTTTCCGACAGGGGTATGCGGCCCGCTATTGACTCGAGCTGCCAGCGCCCAGGAACCACATTGAGAAATATCGTATACAGCTAGAAGCGACTGTCCGCCCGTTGAACGGAAATATGTGTAATTTGTCTACACCACACTGCTGCAGTAGCTTGGCCCCGAGTTCGTATTCCATCTGACATCTGGGCTGTGTAAACACCGATTTCACGCCAAGCTGTGGCCCCGCACAGCCACGGACCCCACGGCAACGCAGGCAGACTTGACGTTGTCTGGTGATGCAACTATTCGCGACTGCCAGTGATAAGGTGAGCGTTGGACGGCATCATCTTCCGAGGACAGGACAGCTTCCTGTTTCCAACGCCCTAGCCTGTACCCGTATAATTATGTCGTCACTGTGCACGAACCCACGTTCTTCGGGCAAGGATGTGAAGAACTTGATCATCACACGGAACGAATTGCTGGCCTTGATACGCTAGCTTCATATGCCTTGGACTCAGAAAGACGATAACTTCTTCCTACTTTCAAGTTTCTACTTGTTATCATTGATAGAGTCTGTGCGAGTCTCACTCAGTCATACACTTCTCGAATAGCTCCTCAAATCCAGGCGATGCCTGCATTACGCCCTGCTTTTCCTTCTCCCAGGCTTCACCAAGTCCATCCGTCTTGGCAGCCTGCATGATAGCGTCAAGCATAGCCACTGATTCCTGTACTTCGGACATCAAATGCTTGATGTCTTCGCCGTTTGTCATTTTCTGACGTTCTATACATCTGCTCCAGAGCAGACACATCCCCATCATGATTGTTCCTCTGTGAGCAGGCAGCCTTGGCCATGCGTTGAGCTGTACACTCTGTGATGCCTTCAACGTTGAGAGAAGGAGAGGCTTGTGGCTAAGTTCCAATGGCTCCTGTAATATGATTGAGAGCAGGGGCATAAGGTCGGGGAGGTGTTTGACTGTACCAATGCCCATGAGGCCTAGGAGAACAGGGACGTGTGACATGATCAATGTGGCCAACTCTGCGTACGACGACGGCCTAGGAAAATGTGCTAGAGGGGAGAGGACTCCTTCACGAAGGATCTTATCCAAGAAACGCTCCCGAGAGTCGCCTTTGTCGGTGTCTGCCGGAAGAAGCTGAGCAAGAAGAGTCACAGTGGGGAACACCTCTTTCAAGAGCGTGACAGACTCGGCTTCCGGTGTGATAGAAGGGATATATGTGAACATGGGTAGCAGAGCCTCAGCAAAGATATTGTGGTATCCAGTGCGGTGCAGGAACTTTGCGGAATCCTGACCGGCAATTGGCTTGTTCGTACCGCCCGCCACGACCGTCTGGTGTAGATTCTCAAGTAACAGGCCGAGCATGTGGCAGCCTCGCGCTTTCCACTCCGTTGCAACATCATCCATCATCTTCAGTATTGGGGGCATCAGCAAGTGCCATTTTGCTTCTATTGTCTTCGGATCCAGCACACTTATTGTCCATCCCAGCAAATCCAAGGCATACTGATTTACAGAGTCTTTCCAAGGGGCCGGTTGCCGTGAGGCTTCTAGCGCATTTGATGTAGGCTTATTCTGCGGAAAGAGAGGTGGGATGGTAAGCTGAAGAAAGTGTGATGCCAGGCGAAAGGAAAGCTCACTATCAGTTTTTTCAGCCCTAGAAACCTTCACAGCCTCGATAGCTGCGGTAGGGTCGGTAACATTGGGGTTGCGTAGCTGCCAGGCCATGACTACGTCGAGCGCATCTTTCATCCAAGGGCCGGGCTTGGTACCAAGTGCTTTGGCAAGGTCTGTACCTTTGAGAAGAGGTCTGAAGGTGTCGACGTCGAGGAGTTTGAGCTCGACAATGCGGTCAAGGAAGCTTTCATACGAGCGAAGAAGATCTTGAGATTATTAGCAGCATTCAGTGTAATGGATTGGCGAGTACTTACCATCTCTTGACACTCGTCCGAGCACAATCTCGTAGACAAGATTGAAAAAGACTTGTGTCCTCCATGTCGAACCCCAACGACGGATAGCCATGCCCAGAGTATCTCTAGCAGTCGCGTCGTTTGTTGGGTTGATGGTGTCTGGTCTTCGAAGGCCTTTGGCGCATTGAGCGACGACGCTGCGAATTTCTTCACTGTTGCTCAAAGAAGAAGCAATGACGTCGCAGATCTTGTTCGGTGCTTTGAAACCTTCCCGAGCCACTAGATAGGCAGCGAAGTAGGGTCGCTGTAACGGCTTTTGGTGAGGTATTGTCGGCGCATCGACCCAGGGCATCATGGTTGCGCAAATCCATGCCAGATATTTCTCTTCCTCGTTTCTCAGTAGAGTCTCTGAGATAGTAGAAGGCAAGCTAGCGTCCTTCATGACAGCCGACTCAGCAAAATCGTACGCCGGCTTGAAGTAGGCTGTTTCCGGGTCAGAAGGTAGCTCGCGGGTAGGATCTGTGAAGACAGTCCTGTAGAGACCAAAACGATCGATGAGCTCTAGAGCCATACGTGGTCTGGGACCCCTCAGCATCTTCTCGAGCTCTATGCCGACTCGCTCGCGACTAATCTTGATCTTCAACACCTCTTGTATTTCTACATTGCCCATAGCCTTGGCTGTCTCTGGCTCAATCGTGTAGTCAAGTCGGCTAGCGAAGCGGATCAGACGCAATACTCGGAGTGGATCGTCTTTGAAGGTCTGATATGGCTCGAGGGGAGTGCGGATGATCTTGGCAGCCATGTCTTCATGTCCGCGTCCAGTAAAGTCTTCGACTTGACAGGTATGGAGATTGTAGAACATGGCGTTGACAGTAGCATCGCGCCGCATGGCGTCCTCTTCGGCTGTGCCAAACTCCATCTCTGGATTACGAGAGACTTCGTTGTAAGTCTCTTTCCTGAGATTGACGAGGTCCAAATCGATGCCCATGATCTTGGTCGTGGCAGTCTCAAGGTTCTTTGACTTTTCAGGGTTCGCTTCAATCTTGTGCAGGCCTGGTGCAATCCTCTTCGTCTTGTCGCGTGGACTAAGGCCATCGTCTTTCTCGACAAGACCATGCTTCTCAGCGTTGCCCGGGATCTCAAGATATTCTTGCATTTTCAAGCCAAAATGCTCCCCAGTCATTTTGTTGATGGCAACATCGATATCATGGCTGCCAACTTTCAGAAGCTTATCTCGAACCCAGCCTCCAGTCCAACGCAGCACAATCTTCTCCTTGACTAGCTCTTCTGGAACCTGTACTCCAGTGACATCTCCACTTGAGGGTGCTTGGTCGATGTAAGCAGCCACGTCCAGCAGAAGTTGTCTGAGCTTGGACTCAACTTCTGTCAGTTCCAACTGAGCGGAGTCGACATTTTCTGTTGACGCCATAGTTCCGTAGGGGTGAAGAAATTGGGGTGAGCGGCGGTCGATTTTGCGCCGTTTGGGGCTTGGTTGTTGTGATTCGGATGGCGAGGTCGTCTTTGACATACGAGGTAGTTGCAGAGTGAGAGTAGAGAAATTCGTGCAAACTAGGCTATATCGCAGAAGTGGGCGAGGTGCCAGTGCAGGGAAGTCACGTTTGTATAGTAGTGAAAATGTGCGCGGTGAACAGATTGAGGCACGACTCATCACCAACATGCATGTGAGTCGGAACGATGGCTGCAATGTGCCCCTCTCGCGTAGATGGCAGTAAAGACAGACAAGAAGGCCGAAGCGAGTGGGCTTGCTATGTTTGTGGGCACATGTGACGTGATGAGGGACAGTTGTGTGTTGATGGAGATGCCGCATTTCGTCCAGTCACAAAGCGCAGCGGCCGCAACTGCGATGATGCACCATCCAACGTCGTCACACTCGCGCAGCTACAAACGGCCAGCTGGTGAAAGGAAAGCCTCACTGCCGCCAAGTCCAGCACACGACAATCCGGATACATGCCGACTGCCTCAGAACTTCCGCGCGCATTCAGAACCCCGCGGGCGCATCGCCCTAGCCTCTCATGACGCCGCCTCAAGATGCCACGCCGAAACCCCCAAAGTACCCAGCCGATCCGGAGGCTTCGATGATACTACCCAGACAACGCGCATCGCCGGCCTCCTCTCTCGCCAGTCTTCCGTACCGCCGCTCGAATCCAAGCCTGTCCAAGCTGTTTGAGTCCACCACCAGCATATCCACATCGCGACCTAACTCGGGCGCTGCAACCCCCACCCAGAGCACCGTACAGGGCTCGGTGTTCTCACCGGGATCAAGATTGAGTGGCACAGGGACGCCCAACAGTCTACCGTCGGGCGTATCGGACGAGTACCGCACGCTCATACAACAGGCCTTTGTGCCATGCGTCGCTGTCTTAGCTGACGCGCAGACCGAGGAGCTGATACGGGGGAAAGGGCTGGAGGGCGGGCTGCTGCAACTGCTGCGCCCATTCGGAGAGTCGGTTCCCGGCAAAGTCACAATACGAGATAGCAACGGCGCAAGCAAGAGCTGGGAGGATTTTGGTGTGCGCTTCATCGGCGTAGATGATGCATACCCGGACTTGCGCGTCGACACGGGCGGTCAGCGTACATCCTCGAGCTCCACAGGGCGACCACGACGAGCAGGAGGCGATGTCTCACAAATCGAAGAACTCGTCGACCGCCATCTGCAGTACTCCGAGTTCAACAGACAGTCTCCCGTGTCAGACTACATGAACAAGGGCGACGCAACAGCCACCCAAACAGATGGCACCGCCTCACCATTCCATACTCTCTACCTCCGGCGGCTACTGTCAGGGCTGCCGGTAGTACCTCACGAGACATTTTCCCATCCCGTGGCCGGCATAATAGCCATCTCGTCACGGAATCCACACCCTATAGAAGAGCTCCGAAGACTCTACAACCGGCAGCACGATGGCGATCTTCGTTTCCCGCAATGGGTAGAGAATGACTTCCTACGATATTATGTTTTGATACATGATGAAGAGACGGGAGATATCGCCAAATCCAATCAAACATTTGATTCGATGAAACGGCACTTTGGTCTCCATTGCCATCTACTACGACTCAAGAGTCAGCAATGCATAGCTTCAGATGATGACAGCGTACGGTTACCGACCTGCGAGTGGATGTCTGCAGGGGAAGAGCTAGCCGAGATTCAGAGGAGAGGTACGTCTGACTGCATCAGTGTGATGTAAATGTCATGTACTGACCATTCAACAAGAAACCACAGACGACATAACAGATCCAACCCCCTACTTCCCCGATTCCGACATTAGCAGCCTGCGCACCTTCATCCGCGAACTAGTCACGCAGTCTATAATACCCAACATGGAGCGCAGCGTCTCTACTTGGAACGAGCAGATCCTTTCTCGCCGTCGCGGCTTGTCAGGCCGCTTCATGTCTCTATCAAAACGCTGGACGCCATTTGGTAGCTCACGAACCTCAGGTTCATCATCCACTGCATCAGGAAACTCCAATTATGATAGTCTACAAGGCTTTTACCGCCCTGACGCCCCCGAAGCCATCATGCGACGTTTAGCAGATTATTGCTTCATGCTGCGTGATTGGAAATTGGCGTTGAGTACATACGATATTCTAAGAACAGACTTCCAAAATGATAAAGCCTGGCGACATTACGCTGGCGCCGCTGAGATGGCAGCCTTGTCCGCTCTTATGGCACCTACACCATTATCCTCAAAGAACCGGGCGGAGAATATCGATGCGTGGATAGAAGCTGCATCCTATTCCTACACCGACCGCCAACGTAGCGCAGCACCTTACTATGCTCTCCGCACCCTCGCTCTTAGCTTTGAGCTTTTGCGCCTCCGCGGCTCCTCAGCCGCCGACGATGCCGCACGCTGGGCGACCCGCATCCTTGAGACTGGCCTTGTAGGTGCGGTAGGTCATGCCCTCATCACCGAACGTATTTCAGCCTGCTACGCAGTGCGGACAGGCGTGGGCATTTACAAGCTAGGCAGTAGACGCAGAAAGGCAGCGCTCTGGGCTGTCCTCGCGAGTGAGAATTGGTACAGACTGGACAAATCACAACAAGCGGAACGCGCCCTTGATACCGCGCTCAGGCTGTACAACACCCAAGCTGAGAATGCGGAAGGCGGGGTGGTTAGACTGCCGTTCGAGGATATGCAGCGCTTTGTGGATCAGTTGAGACAGCAGATTGTGGGCTTGAGGTTGGCTAATCAGGGATACGGCAGTGAGCATGGTGAGGGCGACGAAGAGGGGATGCAGAGCCCTGAGGTAGAAGAGGAGGCTGAGGCATTGGATAAGAGTCCACGGTTACACAGGAAGAGTCTGATTGGAAGCACAGTGCCGACTATCGATATGGCAGGGCCTCTAAGTCCGGCTCTGGAGAGGCCGAAGGGTGAGGTAGATGCCAAGGGAGAGGGTTTTGAATAGACGGTAGATCATAATGTTCATAACGACTGGAGACTTATTCATCAGAGCTATGCGTACGTACAGTCGTGATCATTTCACTATTTATGGCCTCACAAGATGCAGAACATGACACGTCTCACATATACCAAGTGACAACAAATCAACAGGAGGAATGGTTCTCATTTCCAAGTAGGTATCAGTCATATACCAGAGAGATCATCCTATCATCATTCGTTCGGCAACGCAAGCGCAACCCCCAAAACGCCAAAGCCAGTGATCAGAGCGCGGCCCAAGCACTTTGGCACCCGTCAGTCATGCTGGCATATGCAACGATGTGTAACAGACAGCCCCTGCCAATGCTCGTATGCTATGCAAAGAAGGAAAAAGGAAATAACCCGGGAAGAATAAGCGCCCAATGTTATGCTGGGGTATCATCATCATCAGCGTCGTCAATGTGAACCGTGAACCATTGTCCGTCGTAAACTGTCATGCTACCGTACCTATAAGGCGGTAACAGCGGGTGTGGTCTCTGCCACTGCAGCACTCGTGGGTTCTGCGGAAGCCGTTTTCTTAGGCTCTGATGGGATCAGTGTAGGTGGTGGTGCAATTGTAGGTGCAGGTGTAGGTGCGCGGGATGTGGTGCAGGATGGAGTAGGGGAGGAAGTGTCTGAGGTGCGGAGACCGCGGAGCTTGATGGTGAGCCTGACAGGCTTCACCGGCTCTGGTGGAGGGATTTCAATGTTGGACTGCTGCGAGGCTGCGAATCCATTTGATTCGTCTGACGAGCTCTCAGTGCCCTCTGGTGTGGAATCAGAGTCAAAGAGTGGCATAGGTGAGCGACGCTTTCGAGAGCGCCGACGCTGATCGTCATCGTCGCCATCGACGCTAGGACTAGGTCGCTTCTTTGAGACGACCTGTGGCACAACGTTGACATCAGGTGGCCCAGTGTGAGGTCCGGCGATGTTGCGGACGGAAGAGTAATGCTCCCAAGTCTATGGTGCGTCAGTACTGCGTCGTCGGGATAGTGGTGGCGTGGCTTACGTGATAGGCAATGTGAAGTGTCTGGCGGCTGTCCTCAGCAGCCAGATCATCATTTGACGTGTAGTATGTGCGGGGTGAAAAAAGGTAGGTGTAGTCAGCCTGCCAGAGGCGGACATGGACATTAAGGGCAGAGGCAAATGCTGAGACTTCCATATTGTCGGCCCACTCGCCGGGCTGGCCCATCTTCTCGACATGCTCTTCAAACTGTTGTTGCAGCTGCTCCTCAGTGTAGTATGTTGTGTCAATACGCTTCGCAGCGGCAGCAGCAGTCTTGCGTTTGGGATTCCGCCGTACGTTATTGCAGGCCATGTACTGGCGGTAGAAGTCTGCGCTATCTTTCATATGCTCTATAGTGGTAGTGCGTAGCACCTCGTGCATGTCTTGGGTGCCGTAGAGCTGGTCAGATAGGGCGTTGAACAGACAGTTGCCTTGGGCAAAGTCAGCCTTGAACATGGGGAGATATGGGGAACTAAGCTCACCATCGCCACGGATCTGGCTGGCATACAGGGCATTGGCCTCGAGTATGGGAAATTCAGGCGAGTTGGCCCGTTGTCTTCGGGTAGCCATATTGACAGGTGTATCTAGCGTGGGTGTTGGACAGGAGAAGTCGGTGTAATGCAATGAGGAAGGCACGGGTGTGGGGTGACGGGGTCATGGATGAGGGTTGAGCTTAGGTGCGACAGTTGCTATTGCAGTGAGGGCTGTGCCGGCCACGCCAAGTTGGTGAAGGTCGTGGCCGGTGAAGGTGAATGTAGAATATCTTTGTGACGCGCCCGAACTCTTTGAAGCTCTCGAAGGGACACGGCGACAGGGATGGCTCAGCTTGGCGAGTCGCAGGAACAACGATCTCCGCCCTGAGTCAGGACAGCTCACGCACAGGAGCCTGGAGAAGTACAATCAGACGTCAGCCAACCAGACAAGGGGACAGTGGCTTCTTGTACTCTTCGCAACTGAGAAACTAAACGCTCGAGATGGTACGGAAAAATCTTCGGCCTACATACCTCGGAGCCTGCAATGATGTCACGGACCGCAGAGCTCCCCCAGCTAGCCGATGGGGCAGGCCCGACTGATTTTCGCGATGTACGGGCGGTGAAGAGCAAAAAAGCGCGTGCAAACATGCAAAAAACGAGTCTTCTCAATAGTCTGCACAGTAACGGGAGGGTGCAGGTGGCCGAGTACAGCGTTATAACGGACTTGCACGGGGCAAGCAGGCCATCTGGTCAGTAAACAAACCTCCCATGTGCGCACGCGTTTTGTCTCGTGTGCGGGAAGGAGCCAATAAGCGAGCAGGGGAATCAAGGCATGACACCCCGCCATCCCACCCAGCTCCGCAGCACGCACGATAGCAAGTAGCCGTCTATGATCCTACGGCACATCACAGGTGCGTCAAGGCAGCTGTCACTCTGAATCTGAAGCAGTCATCATGGCCACCTAGAGGAATCTTGTCGTGGGGTCCAGGCAAGCTCGCCTGTCGATGCTGTCATCATTCTTGAATTGCCCCTCCATGTCTGTCCCTTGTAGTAGTAGTACCTATCACACCACTGCCTATGACTCTACAACTTATCTAGTGCATATCGGGCTGCAACGCAAAGACCACACCAACACTACTCCAGAGCAGCCTATCCCGTATATCCGTAATTCAAAAGGATCCTTAGACCTGAACTGTAGTCAAGATTGTCTCGATCTCGTCTACGGCAGGCTTTAAGCTCTTTGATGGTAGACTCCAATCATGGCGCTTCAATCCTCCCTCATGCGTCAAGTACCAGAGCGTCTCGGCGGCTGCAATTCGTACCTATACCACTGTCAGCATGAAAGCAACGTTGTTAACATGTTACTCGTACCTTTGGGAACGGATGTAAAAGCATGCTCACGACCTTGGAGAGAGTGTCGGTCCTTGTCAGTGTTATGTCTCCCAAGCCACGATACACGTCCAATGCGAGATGAAGCTTTTGCATGTGCGTAGACTTGAAGTGGGCCTTTTGAGTATAGGAAAGGAGAACTCGGAAGCTGGACTTGTTAGCTGATCTGCAGACATGATACGATAGACAAGCCCTTACTTGAAAGGCGTCGACTGCAGACGCTGCATAACCTGCATGTCGAACAAGAAGGATATCACCTCTAGTAGTGGAAGCAAAACCCTATCATTGGTGATGTTTTCCTTGAGGAGCGTCAGAAAGCAGTTTGCAAAGTCGGCCAAGGTAAACCGCGGATCGTCCGATAAGTCTTCGTTTGGAAGTATGGCAACAAAATCCAGCAAAGCTGCCCGCGAATTCTGCACAACAGACTCAGAGCCCATGCCCGCAGAACTCACAAATCCAACACAGATGGCGTCCCTGATCGAGGGGTCTATCGCTAATACACCTAGTGCGCTCAGGAAGTAAGCCTTGGAAGAGACATTGTGTATGACCTCATTGTTATTTTCTCTTTGCTGAAGAACTTGATAGGCGATCATGCGCATTTTGTCCAGCTTCTCCAGAGATAACCGAGTTACGTCGGCAAAGATGTCGTACTCGCGCTCGTTGCGTCTTCCGGTGAGTAAATCACATGTCCAAGCCAATTGGCCAGTTTTCAAGGCCTCAAGTCGAACAAGTGACCCGACATCTCCCCGCTCGGTGATGGTATAGTCATTCAATGCAATGTGCAAGGCGCTTGCAATCTGATCTTGTACATCTGAAGCAAGCTGAGCTGGTCGCGAAGTCTGACTGCTAAGCAAACAACCCAAGGCTCGCAATGCCACTGTTCGAGCCTCGATTGCTACAGCTGGAGTGCATCTGAACGTGAGTACCTTCACTATTCGTCGTTGAAGGAGTTGCTTTTCGGCATCAGCTGCTAAACTGATCAAACTACCATGTGTAGCCCCGAGAGCGATAGCATGTCCAGAACATCGCAGCCCATTGTAAGATGCCTCATTTTCCAATCGATCTAGCCACGATACTACTACTTCGACCGTTTTAAATCCAGGTGTCCCAATTAGTAGTGAAACTATTGCTGGAATAGCAGCAGCGATAGCATTCAAGACTGGCTCCTCATGACGAGCCAGACAAAGATTCAATAGGTCACAAACCTGAGTTGCTGGCAAGCTAGAAGGCCAGAGCTCACTGGGATACCCAAGAGTAAATCTTGCAATCGCTCCAATGAATGTGCATACTGATGATGCTGTGAACTGAGGCCGTAGCGCTGGTGATGTGAATGCTTTGTCTTCGAGCTTTAATTCGCTGGCGAACAATGTCCAGAGCTCCATCAAGGGCGCATGTGAGTTCTCATGTGCTCTCTTGGCGTGAGACAATCCTGCAGTGTCAATGAGAGCCGCAAGTGCAGTTACCAATCCTTGGCGCTCTTCAACCTCGCGAGGCCGCAATGCCGCAAGCTTTTTGCGGACTTGAATCGACATCTCTTGTACCACCACAGGAGGCCGAGCCTTGGATAGAGAGCCTATAGCGTCTGCTGCAAAGAGGCGTGAGTCAGAGTCCAACGACCCAGTTCCCCTCCAATCTAGCAGACCGCTGAAGAGAGCATCCCAGTACAGTGAATGCAACCCTCCCGCCTTGATAGCCACATCAGACATTGCTCGTTGACGGAGCCCGACAGCATGGAAGTCAACGATCTGTACGAGCGGTATGCCCTCTTCTATCGTGTTGGGGTGGCGACCGATGAGTTCCTGAAGCGCAGCTGATGATCCTCTTCTGATATTACCTGCTGGGTCAAGACATGCAGCCACAACCAACTCAATGGCCAACACTTGAGGGACGTGTAACGACTTGAGGTGCTCAGATGCTTTGATTGAAGCGGTCTCCACTGCCAGAAGGTCGGCTGTAGGGTAGCGGCGAGAGAGTGCCCAGATACCGAAGCAAGCCGCATCACGTACATTGGTACCAATAGATCCTCCAGTTGGTGAACGCTGCTCGAATCCGAGGGACAGCAGAAGGGCGTTGAGTACTTCCGACAAATGGCTGGTAGAGATCGCTTTGCGATAGAGTAATTGCGATAGCGTTAAGGTCAACCCGTGCCATCGAAGTGGGTTAACACCATTCAGATTCCGTCTGGAGCCCTGCCAGTAGATATTCTCTGTGAGAGAGGAAAGTATCGCTTCAACCACTTCGCTGGCCATGTCTGCATCCAATTTAAGGGTGATGATACTAAGCGCTTTGCTGGCACCATATCTGACCGGTGTATCGCCATCTGCAAGTGCTTCGAGAAGGTATTCGATGACCTCTTCCAATACCACTGTTGAGTCAAGCCCAGGAAGGACTGACGTTGCTTGGAGGCAATGTAGCACAGTGTTACGCAAACTCTTCACGACTAGTTTGCGCGCAACAGCTGACGATCTAACAAATGCAAGACTTTCTTGGTCCAGGATCTTTCTGCATGACAGATAGATGGCAGCGAGGAAAGGGCCTAGTTCCTCATTTGTAGCGGATGCTAGAAGACCGGATAAGAACGACAGTACACCAAGACACTGGTGTATATCGGTTCTCTCGCCGTTAATATCCGTGAAAAAGGATAGCGACCATTGCACCATGGCATCCAGTAAACCTAGCTTTTGCATGTCTGGTCGCACACACGTTCTCACTAAAAGACTTGCAGCGGCAGCCCTCTCCTTTGTAGGAGATCGAAGGCCTGACATACATACCGAGAGCACTCGGAGAGTCACGCCAGGCAATTCTGCCGGCAGCCTCAGCCCAACAGCTACTGGCGCTTCTGCAGAAACTTGCAGCCCAGACATAGACTCTAAGGGAAAGGGCGCTAAGAGTAGCTGTGAGAGCCACAACAGGAGCACATAGCGCTGTATCCATGGCTGAACCGCTAAAGGCTGTATGGAATCATCGTTCTCGGACCTGGGATCCTCGCTGGCCTCCAACTCCCTCAAAATTGGTTCGAGATAACGCGGCTCGTTGTTGAAGAATCCTTTGATGACCTTCTCGCCTCGAACCTTACAAAAGGTATTCAATACAGAGCATATGGCATGCGGAAGAGTGATAAAGCCTTGTGATGGCTCTTCTTTGGCGCTCACTGATATCGCTTCCAGATAGGCAGCAACTAGGGGAGGAATGAAGGTTTTCAGATGGGTGTCTAGGATCTGTGGATCCTCCTGAAATGGCTCGACCTAGTGGAGTTCAGCATCTTGCGATGAGATAACGATACAGAACTCATACCAAGCTGCATGCTTTGTGCATATCAGTTGCTCTGACATGTTGACGGAGGGGACCGAGGGTCGCGCCATGCTGTCGTTTTCGCAGCAGTCGTGGCAGTAGCCTCTCGAAGTCTGAAAGGAGCGATGCAGAAGCTCGCTGCAATTTCAGGTCGTCGTCCTCTCCGGCACTCATCGTGAGTCAGGGTGAAGTTGTGATTCAGTTTGCAGGTGACGATGGGTGCCTTGTCGCCCGAGTCATTTTCGGTCATCATGGGCAAGCACGACGCGTGGTCCTGAGTCAACCCCCGCGACGCGCTTTCACAACTTCTTCCACGAACAACGGCCGCGCAACTACGTCAGCCACAACAACACGCACAATGGCGGAAGACAACTACAGGGACTATCTTGTCGCGAGGGTAGTTACAGAACAAAAGCCTATCACCTACAGGCTGCTCAGCAGAGTACTCAAGACCAATGTCAATACAGCGAAGCGGTCAGTGCAGTCCGTGCAACTGTTCGAATGTGAGCTTACATGATGCAGGATGCTCTTCGAGTTCCATCAATATCAAAATGCGCGAAAACCGAATTCTGTCCACGCCACCTACCTTGTCGTCGGTACACCGAAACGGACTGAGAGGACCAATGGCGCCCCCGCAAGGAAAGTCGAAGACGCTGACAAGCGCAATCCGCCCACTATGAGCTCCAAGCCACATCTACAAGGGCCTGGAGACCCTGATTATATCAGTGACTCCGACGACGAAGAGACGCCCGCGCCTGAAGGTGTAAAAGAAACCCGGATTCTGCTGGTGCCAGAGACCGATTTGGAAAGTGCGTCTCGGTACATGATGACCGCGAGACTTCGCTGACGGCCTGCACAGAGACCCGATCAGAGCTTGAGGATGGATCCACGGCTCATATATACAGTCTGGAGGCTGGTGCGCTTAAGGTATGAGGCCCCCGTACACTTCAAGGCTTCTACTAAAGCAGGCACAGCTTAGCATTCTGTCTTTGTGCAACCACGAGGTTGTAGCAGAGTATACAGACGAGGATCCTCTGGAGCGATGGAGAGTGTATGGTTCAATACGAAACCAACACATCAAGGTATGAAAACTAGTCACATATACTTGGACACGCTAATTTGTTTGTAGAAAAGGACTGCAAAGTATGCCCCTTCTACTGCTTCATCCAAGCCCGCTACGAACCCCGTTACGATGCCTGTCACAAAAGCTGCAATAAGCCTAAGCATGAAAGGAAAGGAGAGCTCGACATCTACAAGGAGAGGAAGCGCATCTGAAGATAACACATCCGGTCGTTCAACACCACAACCCTCTGCCGGCTCCACTACACTCAAGAGGAGCGATTCAAAGTCCGGGGCGAAGAAAGACAAGGCAACGGGTGATTTGTTCAAATCCTTTGCAAAGGCTAAGCCAAAAGCGAAAGAAGCAGAGAAGTCGCAGGAGTCTACGCCGGCTCCGGTTGAAGATGGTGCGTAAACATGCCGTCTTTTCTGATTGTATACGACTAACTTGTCTAGAACCCATGCAAGGCATGTCCGAAGACGAAGGCGATCCCGATGACGAACCTGAAATCAAGATCGACGAGGAGAAGAATGAAGCAGCCCGCAAAGCTCGAGAAGAGCGAGCCGAAAGGCTACGCAAGATGATGGAAGACGATGGTAAGTCCTCGGAGCTGAGGTGGTTTTTGTCGTCTAACGTTCGTAGACGAGGAAATGCCCGATGCGCCAGCCACAGCAGATTCACAGCCAGAAGCCCCCTCTACAGCGGCCACGGATACAACTGAGCCAGCTGAGGGCGAAGCTACAGTTACCGTTACGAACGGTCGTAGACGCGGCCGAAGACGAGTGATGAAGAAGAAGAAGGTCAAGGACGAAGATGGCTATCTCGGTTAGTAGTCAAAGCGTCCGCAAAGCCTTCCAACTAATTGCGCACAGTAACTAAGGAAGAAGCCGTCTGGGAGTCCTTCTCCGAAGAGGAACCCACGACAAAGAAGGCCAAGCCAGCATCTGCCAAACCATCAAGCTCAGCGAAAGGAAAGAACGCAGGCAAGAAAGGACAGGGGAGCATTGCCAGTTTTTTCAAGAAAGCTTGAGATGTCCATAGACAGATACGCTTGCTAAGATATTTCCATGTATGTCACGATGAAGACGGGAATGTTCCTGAAGTTTCGTCTGGACAGTGCGAAAGTCGAGCATAGTGTAGTGTACAATCATTCAAGCTGTCCCCAGGCATTTCCAATGACAGATATTCCATTCATACCGGCCGAATGATTCGGCCGTTTTGCAACGGTAAATGCCCTGTAATTGATGCAGCAAACTCCTGCAAATCTCGCGAAGCGACGTTGCTCAGGTCGCCGACTTGGACGACTTCATACGCCCACCGTACCGGATGTAATGTTGTACACAGATCTTGACTTGTTGAACGGCTCCGTGGCGCTGTGATGTTATACGACACGGTTGGCTTAGTTCAAAGGGAAATCCTCCTCATTGACGTGCGTGCTATATCCGATTCGGATCCACCTAGTGTTGTCTTCGTGTATCATCCAGCTTGCTGGTCCCCTGCATGAGATTGTCTGTGTTCTGGAATCGCACTGTTGGTGATGACAGATTCGGTCCCTCCTCGGATGCCCCGCAGAACCGGGGAAGTATGTGCTTCGCCAACATCTACTTCTTCGTAATTTGTACAACCATAAAACCGTGTCAACATTCTAAGCTTCTCTACGAAAGGCGGGTTAAGAGCTGCACTGGCACTTGCACTAAGCCATACAGAGGCTACTGACCTCATTGAATCTGCACGATTTGGCAGGTACAGATCTGGTTGATGACGACATCATTCTTAGACAACATCAAATAGTCTGATGCTTCGCAACTCTTAACTGCTTCAAGCGCATCGCAATCAATCAATTGTTCTCTCACAATAGCAACCATAGCTTCACGCACAGCATCCCGTCGCCTTTCGCGATTCCTACGCACCATGTCTACTACAGCACCCTCCGCATCGGCCCTCCCGCCCGCGCCATGGAAGTCGCTGTTCAGCGAGCATATCTCCAAGATGAAGTCGCCCGAGTTTGTTCTCGGAACACTCGATTCAGCACCCAAGGGCTCACCCACCCCTTTCGTGCCACGCGTGCGATACTGCATCCACCGCGGCTTCTGGGCTGAGCTACCAGAGAACAAGCACAACGATGCGGAGCGCAACCCTCAAGTCTACCAGAGCGATTGTCCTACATTCACAACAGATGTTCGAATGGAGAAGGTGGGACAGATATTCGCAACGAGTGCCGGACACGCAGAGAGCAATGCTCAAATACAGGGTAGTGGTGGTGGAGGCCCTGTGGAGGCTGTTTACTGGAACGCTGATACTGGCACACAATGGAGAATCAAGGGAAGGGCATTCGTCATCGCCGACGATATCGAGGGTGATGAGGAGAGCAGTGGTGTGAGGACTGTCAAGAGCGAGGTGGGAAAGAGGATGAGAATTGTTGATGAGGGCAAGGAAGACCAGTTCAGTTGGCAGAGGGAGCTGACAGGATTCTTTGGCAACCAAAGTCCCGGCATCAAAGGTAGGAAATATTGCTGTGTTTGAAGCTCTGGAAGACTCTAACGCGAATTCACAGGCTCGTTCAAGAACCCCCCGCCTGGTCAGCCTACATCCAAACCTTTCGACGACAAGAACCTCGCACTTGGTTCCAAGGTAGATGACTTGAAGGACCCCGTTGCACGCAAGAATTTCCGCCTTGTGGTCATCGTACCAGACTCGGTGGAGCAGACCGATCTCAGCAACCCTGAAAAGGCACGGAGATTTAGATATACATTTGACGAGAGCGCAAAGGCCAACGCCGGATGGAGGACTGAGGAGCTATGGCCTTAGAAGCGCTGCGAATAGGTGTTTATGAGTACGCATGAACGGACAATCGAAAACAAATTGGCAACCGAATGTTCGAAACAATACCACAGAGTTCCCTGATGTTATTCGATTCCTTCGTAGGGCCGAGTGTATGCATTGTTGTTGTGTAACTCGTTTGTCGCAGCGACCCTTGCTCGCTGCACATGCATGGTTTCGATGCAGTCTTCCCCACAACGTGGCTCAGGTCGGCGACCACGACCGTGGCCCTTGTTGGTTTGAACAGTCGCCTAAAGGTTGCAAATTTGTTGAGCGTGCTTCAAATCGGAACGTGGGATTTTCTGGCTCAACATTAGTTCCATCGAACAAGCTGCTCGCTGCACATTTCTTCGTGTTCAAGTACGTTGGATCAGACTTGGACGCGAGTTTCGTGAGTCACAGCGTTCTGGTCTGACGACATCAGAAAAGCAGAGGTGCGAAACGAAACGTGTGTTGAGCAGGCCCCTTATCCGCATACTATTTCTGTCGCGTGGTTACCCCAACGGGAAATCGATGCGTAAAGAATCGTCGGCAGCCTAGGATGATCCCGGAACGCTAATCTAAATAATGCTACGTGTGTTAACGTTCACGCTACAGCTGTTTGTGTGGTAAACTTCGACAGTTGGAGATCCACTGGCATTGGTGCATATCAACAGGTCAGGTGCGCGCACCCGCCTTCCTAGGCTGGCATCGTTCGCGAGCACAGCAGGTCGGTCACTGGACTGTGCACAGCAAATCATCATCTTACACAGAAACAAGATTATGGAAAAAGTCTCCGTCACGTACGTGTACTGTGCGGACGATTGGATACGGACGGCATGGACGTCTGCATTCACTCCTTGGTCGTTTGAACTACCACTTTTGGTATGTTATTCGCAGGTTGAAAAGAACACAAAGGGCGCCACGGTTTCGATCCGGCTGAGGCGCTGCGGCACGGGTGTAGCTACGCCGCACTGGTGCTTATTGGGAGTAATAGCCGCCGGGCGGAAGTTCCATGCGCGCCATCGCCAAATCGATGAATGGGGGGTGAGCTGGCAACCGTTAGGCCGGCGGCGGGTGTAGGCGGTGATTCGAGCTGTCATCGCAACTGGAGGAGTGGAGCGAGCCGCGACATGGAGGGAGATCATGTGCAAAGCGCAAAGGACTAAGAAGCGATCCCCATGCGCGTCTAGCGGGTCACGACAAGTTCGGTATGTAGATGCGTTATCGTGGAGCCATGCGGAACACCATGACAATGGCATCGATCTTGTACTCGGTCGGCCATGTGGCAGCGCAACGACAAACTCCACCGTGCAATGCTCAGGAGTGAGGCAATTGAATCTTGTAATCTTGCGACTCGTCCCTAATAAGGCCGAGCGCCCTGTTCGATCACCGCCAAGGGTACGGAACCGTTGCTGCGGTACCCCATACCTGTTCAGAGCGGAGTATCTTCCTTGCACCTTGCACCCGCACCGATGCAAGTCCGTGTCTTTGCTTTCTGGCTGCCCCCTCTTTCTTCTTGATGCAATGCACTGCCGTGGATTTGTACCTCCGTCGTCCCACGCTGCATGTCGGTAGACAGGACAAAGTTCAGTCTGGCCCCGCTGATCGCATCTCATATCAGGCGCATTCCCCTGCTCGCCAGCCCGTCCCTCTCCATAAGTAATCGCTGATCGTCTGCCACTATTTCTCCGCCGACCGCTGGACGCGCAATTACCCCGACCATATCCTCTTTCCACTGCCACTCTGCACACCTGCCTCGTTGCTCGCTGGTCGACGCTCACATCGATATCGTAGCAGTTGCATGCAATCGTCCGTCTGCACCATTCCCTGCCACCATCACCCCTGCCGCCCTACGCCGGAACTCGGATCCTCGCCAACCAAGACGCCCGCCATGTCCGACATCGAGAAGTCGTTCACGTACCTCCAGGACAGCATACCGCAATGGCTTCAGGATATCGCCAGCGTTGAAGAGAAGGTCACGGCCATGCAGAATGACAACACAAAAGTGCCCATGTCACAGTCGCCATTCGGAAAGCGGAGGACAGACTCGACCGCGTCCATACGACCAGCACTAGATGCCATCGCCGAGGACGCAGCGCCTTCGAATGCAACCCCGACAGACCCTGTGGGCAGCCGCAAGCGCAAGTCCCTCTCCGTCTCATCCGGTCGCGTGTCAGGCCCCTCGCGCCATCGCCCTCGCACAATGGTCGTTGTGAGCTACGATGGAGATATGCAGAAGTCTTTCGAGCTGCTGGTGCGCGCAATAGGAACAGGGCGCAATTTGCTGAGGAAGGCCAAGATGGAGGCTCGGATGAACGAGATGGCTACTCAGGCAGAGTCGAGTGAAGAGGACGACGATGTCGACGACGATGATGATGATGAAGAGGTCGATCTATCCAAGATCAATTACCGAGCACGTATGTCATCACTACGCGCGAGGTCAGCAGCTAGGAGAAGCGGGCGGCTCGGTGTGAGCAGCGGAGTAAAGACACCTGCGGCGCTATTCGACACCTCTGATAAGACACTGGAACAAGCCCAAGAGTCGTGTGAAAGGGCAGCGCATCTTACACTACGCGACGGCGACTGCAGGAAAGAGTTGGAAGGAGTACGGAAGAACTTCGAGGCTATGCTAGAGATCGCAAGGGCCGAGGTTGAGAAGTGTAACGCACGCAAGTCACAACATCCACCTGAGCTGCAGGCACACGAGACCTCCGACACATCCATGTCATCCCTGGAACCCGAAACACTACATCGAAAAGACACACCACAAGCCGCACTGCCGTTACCTGAGTTAGGTGTCCAACCGAAGACGACGCTACCACAAGAATCCTCCAGTGCGCCTCAGCCCCTCAAAATCGTCGATATCGAGGTTGATGAAGAGGATGACGATGACGATTTCGTATTGCCGCCTGTCCGACTAACATCGCGACTCAACCGGCGAGACTAAACCTTCATGTCCCATTCATTCGTTACTTTTCCATGCGTTCAAGCGATTCTCGTCTCAGTCACTGCTTTTGGTACGGCGTTCTCATGGTACTAAGTGAGCAAGCGAGCCACTGTTTCTCACGTCATGCTGGGGATGAAAAAGGGGCAAAGGGTATCATATCCACATACATCATCAAGCAATTATTGTGCATCGGCGTCTTATAGCGAGATATTGTTGCTGCTATTGTTCAGCGGAGTCAACCTGACCTGAAGCTCTTTGTGCTTACAGTTGAGAGAGCAGTGTGTATTCGCTGATGTCTTTTGTGGTTTGTTTACATTATATTAATCACCGTCGTCACACGATCGAGGCCTTAAGTCACGTACTTCATTCTCATCTTGCTTGCATTATAGTTATTCGTTTAGCTGCGGGCTGTTCTCTCATTAAGCCGATATTTTTGACCTCGTGGTACATGATCAGTGCTTTCCGTTGTTGTCACTTCCTCGCTCCTGCCCAATGTTAAATGCGCACTTGAGGAAGGAACAAAAACGAAACGCAAGGTGCTCCACTCAATGCAACTGCCTTCTGATACTTAACGTTTCTGCACGCGCCTGATGCCCTTTACCGCTATACTCACACAAGCTCCACTCACCTTCTTTGACACGGCCCTACTATCGGTGGGCCTGAATGGCTTCTACGTAAGGGAATACAATCACTTCGTTTAAATTTTCTGCCTACTTAGAAGAGGCTCAAATGGCGGGTGGAAATGCTGTGCGAAGCAACGCTGTAAGTGAATCCTTTGTTTTCTACCTTCACTCTCATTACTAATGCGACGCAGGTGACTGCCCCAGAGAGAGCAAACATCGATGAAGGGCAAAAATATGCTTCGGACTCGCATCAGACTAATGAAAATCTCGAAGACAGCAGAGAATCCTCCGTCGTACCTGACGAGACTGTTGATCGATGTGGATCTAGTGATACTAAGGGCGCAGTCAACATCGAAAAAGTTGTCTTTCGGACCCCAGACGAGAACAGCGGAAATTTCCAAGAGCCCGTCAAGAGACCAGTAAGTCTATTCTCGTTCGACCCGAAGTAGAGATTGACTATGCTTCGCAGCATCTTCCTGAGGTTCCCAAGAAAGACCACGGCGCCAACCTTCCGTCTGATATCGACCTTGAGAACTTTGCCGATTTGAAGAAGTCAGATTTGACTCCACCTACCTCTACCATCTCCGTATCCTCATACGATCTGCGCAACAGAACGCAGAGCAAGCTAGTGTACGATGTCAAGTATCACCCCATGGACGATACCATCCGGCCTTCTCAAGCAGCGAAACGTCGTATAGCCCACGGAGAGGTGTCAATACTCGATTCTGATGATGCGAGTGATGCCTTCACCCTAACTGATACCGCAGCTAGCATTGGAGAGTCGAGCGATACGCGAAGCGAGGATTATGAGGAAGCGCCAATGCAAAGCAAGCAAGCCAAACGACGCAAGCAAACCAAGTTGCGGCCGTTGCCTGCTAAGGGCACAAGACGTTCCACACGTAAGGTCTCAAATCAGAAGACATCGTACAATATGGATATCCACCCTCAAGACAAGTACCTAGTCATATCCAGCGATGATGACGATAAGCAGACTCCAAGCAACAAGCGTAGGGAGATCACTCGTAAGCGTCCCAACGCCGACGATAGTTCTGTACCCGACATTAGAATGGCAAAGAAGCCCAGAGTTTCTTACCAGGATCGATCGCGCCGCACAGACCTTGGTACTTCTGATAGCCTAGACTTCAGTGGTGTGCCCATAATGCATAGTGTGGAGACTGGTGGAGCTACCAAGCACAGTACGTATATGCAGTTACAATATCCTCATGCGAGCTTCAACTGATCGTGTGCAGCCATTGATACTACGACGTTTTCACATTCTTCGCTTGTTAACAGTTTCCCTGACCATTGCATTCGGCGCCGGGAAGGTATGGACGTCTGGCACTACCCTCCCGGAAAGAGATACCTTAACCATGATCGGGATTATTGGCCCACTCTTCCAGATCAGGCGTTTGAGATCTTCCACGAGAAGCTCGAAGATCAGCTAGCACGCGAAGCTATGGAAGTATCACCACCCAATTACGAACATGACAACAAGGAAAACATGAGCAACGCAGGCCTTGAGCCGGGATCTGATGACTACGGTGGCATGTCTATCATGCCGTCTGCGCAGTATCTACAGTCAAGCGATGAGCAGCAGCTGGCAGATCATCGTGCCCTTGTCTCTGAAGCTCTTTATTCTGACACCGCTCCGCAGTCATATGGGCTGGATGGAAGTCATGGCACCTGCGAAGTACAGAAAGATGGCCCGGTAGAATACATGGATATCCTCATATCTGGTGGACACTTGCCCCCAGGTCCTGCACATGCTGAAGCACAAGCGGAGACCCAGGATTCGGTACTCGACTCCGACTCTGTAAGCGAAATCTGAGAGTCAGAGTTGTAGGCCTGTCAGCGCGCCACACACCAAGAGGTCGAGTCGGTCGCCTCATATGGTGTTTCTGTCAGCTGTATCGACTTGTTTCTTCAAGGATCAGCTCTAATTGCATTGTCATGCTTGCTGACAGCTGTATCGCTATATAGCTAAATGTACACTTGCAACTACCTTGTGTTCCATTTCTTATCCTCACCATATATACTATGCATTCCATAAGCCATTTCCGGCACACATCATATATGTATGACTGAAGCTTAGCTCACTTCGTGCTCATTGTCTGCAGGCATGGGAGGAGTGTGTAGTTACAAAGTACTGTGTTTTAACGTACAGCGGAGCACTGCACAAAGCCGGCCAGTTTCTTAACGTTTCGTAGTCAAGTTGTGTACATCCAGAATGCGATCTAAGTCTTTGGCAAAGAAGAACGTATAGAGCAGAGAAGACGTCCTCTAGTCAAATCTGGATACATGCTATATCCAGTATAGTTGATCGACCTTGATGGCATCGCCGATACAGTCCAGTATGCAGGACCAGAGAGACTCTCCATATGCCTTCTATGGTCTCGTATAGCGAAACAGATCGCCAACTAAGAAATACTATACGTATGTCTCCGTCTACGTCATGTTAGTACAGCACAAGCCAAAGTTTGTTATGGCGCCCGTTAGATACGAACGCTTGATGCTACTCGCCGATATCACATGCAAACTTGCTGCATTTCCCTGTACCGTCATAGAAGGTTGACAGCGTTCTGTATATGCCGTGTTCCGGTGACGGTGTTAGTGGGCTGTCTACAATGTCAGATCGGAGGTGATGGAATTCAGGCGTTTCAGCCTGTGTTGATCTCTCATTAGTAACATGCTTTTGGCATATAAATGAAATCCTCTCAAAAAGGACGCATGCTCTTACTTCTGCAGTTGCATAGTGCTTATGAGGAATATAATCTGTAATGGACGCCTCAGGTGCGCTGTTGCGGCGCAGCCGTGAAGTATTAGAAGATCTGCATGGAAGGACGACGTTGCAAGCTCAGGAACTACATCATGGGTCACCTTGCAGTGCTGATCGCATGTGGGAGAAATGTCATGCTGCAAATTATCTCCGCTCGTTCGGAGGTTTTCGTATGGCCGATCTCATCCATCCTCGAGCTCGTATGGGTTTTGCTCACCTAAACTCTAATTTTCCATGACGTTCTTCCACAATGAAGATCATCTTCGGCTTTGAATCACGATTCGATACGTTAGTCTGAACAGTCGTGTCCCGACAGTGTGTACCTCTTGCGTATGTAGGTCAGCCGAGCTCTGTACCAATTCATCATTGCAGTGTTCCAGACACATGATAGAGTCCCTGCATAGTGTACCTGCCCACGAGACTTGTATAAGTGACCTCGAAACTGCAGTACGCCGATACAGAACCAAAGTCCTGTCTACAATACGAAAGCGAAACGCGTCTTCTATATTTGACCGTCCGGGCGAGCCCGGACGCCCGGTTGCCAGGAATAAGCGATGGCGCGCTATTGCCAGCGGAGCGGCCGTCTAGTGTCGTTCTGGGTGCGATCTACGCCGCGGTCTAAGCGCAAGGCTGGCTGGAGACGATCTTGGTGTCGGTTATGGTGTTGGTGTTTTTGGGACGGAGGAGAGCGAATCTCGGATACACGGATAGCTTGAAGACGGCTGGCTGCCGCAAGTTCGCAAGATCGTCGTCGGGAGCGCTGGCGCAACTACACCATGATGCGTGCGGACCGCCAGACAACAGTGCTATCGTCTGTCCAACACCGATTATGTGAACTTTGCCACTTCTGCGCATAAATGCAGGTTGTAGCACGTGGGGACGCTTTACTTCCTTTTCGGGCATAGAGGATGTATGGCAACTGTGTTTAGCGAACTGGCTTAAGCCACGGAGGTTGATCTTGTCCCGTCACGACCCCACACCCCATCGTCTCTGACCAAAGGTCGATCAACACCACGATGCCGTACGCTGCCGGTGAAGCTGGCCGGATATCGTCATATCGTATCGTATTGCACGGAGTTATCTGCGATTTGGGTCTCAACCTCATTCCATGGTACGGACAGTCTCGTGGGACGATGTACTGCACCGCGACGTCGAGCGCGCGAATAGCTTGCTTGAATACGATGGCGCTTGAATAATTTGGCCTAGAAATTGTGGTCTCGAGGAATCTAGTCTGTCGTCCGATGTCATTGTAGGTTTCCATCTCCGCTGTTGCATGGCGGAGCGGCCGTTCTGTCAAGCAGAGTGTCATGCACGTTTCCTGTCGACCGCAGATGTGTTTCCAGTTCATCCTTGCTTCTCCCGCTCTCAGCCAAGTGGTAGCAGCGCAACGTCGCAAAGACCAATGGGAGGCCCTCCTCCTACCACAACCTTGAGCACATCTTTGCTTGGTCTTGCGCTTGCTGTCAGCCTTTTTGCACGCTTGTGCGCCCTGCAGCCATACTAAGCTCATCTGCCGACACGCAAGCTTTCTCATCTGGTTAGAATGGCGTTGCACGCATGGTGCTTCCTGGCAATCTATGACGGCAGGGCTAGACTTATGAGACCCTGCAGACTCAATTTGGAGGAGCTTATGGAAGATTGAGGCTTGTAAGTGGACGTGGAATTGGTGATGGCTACGTGTTGTCTCTGTTGTTGTCTATGCCAAATCTCACGTCCTCTGCTACTGAGCGTATAGCATGAAGAGATGCACACCGTTCATCGCGTTGATGACAACACTCACTGTCCCGCGAGCGGCTCAGTGTATTCTGGGCATACATTCTAGTCCCTCGTCTCGCCGATTCGAGCAAGCGTTTCAACTACTCTATTCCCAAAAGGGCCTTGACAGGGATCACACAGCCAGCCCTGCTCCAGCCAGGCACAGCCGCTTCCTCCTGCTACGGCGACTAAGACATCGTACGCCGCACACCGTCACTGAATCTCTGCTCTAGTCTACGATCACAATGGATGACGGCGGGTGTGGAGTGAGGGGCTTAGGCCTAGAAACAGTGGTCAGTCTTCGGCTGGCTACTCCGCCATCAGTCGTCTGATCACATCTAGCGTGCACCACACTGCGTCTGGGAATTGGATATAAGGTGTAGGTCCATTTCCCCAGGATTTCGATATTACAAGCAAGCATCGATCAAGGTTCTACAGCAACTACTGCTACTACTAGTACCTCGAATCTTGTAAACTTATATTGATTGGTCTCCTGACTCACTTCCTTTTTCAGTATATTTATATACTCGTTTACGGGAATATTCACACGGACCTCTCGAGTTCGGTGACTGTTATATACGTCTACATTACTTCCGGTGTCACGCAAGACTCCTGCCGCCTTCCAATTCATACCTTACCTGGTAGCGCGATAACAAACGGAAAAACGGACGAGGACTTCTCACGCGCACGGAGTTCGCCACCGAGGATTCATTGCACGCCGCTATCATTACCTGATACTGCGAACTTGGGCCTCTCGAGTTCCTTTTCTTAATTACAGGATTACTCGCCGAACGACTGCGATACAACTACTCCACCACTTCACCACTTCTATACATCACCCATATACAAGATGGTCAAGTTCTCCACTCTCGCCCTCGGGCTCCTCGCCATCGCCGGCGAAGTCTGCGCACAGAGTAAAGTAAAGGTCATGCCCTTTGGCGCTTCCATTGTTTCGGTACGTCCTTCGCTTTCTTCACTCAACCCTTACGCCTGCTAACCCTACCAAAGCGATGCTGGCGCGCCAATCTCCAGACTAGTCTTAGAGCTGGTGGTGTTACGAACTTCGACTTCGTTGGTAGTCAGAAGAGCAGTTGCGCTGGTACCGACATCGATCAAGACCACGAAGGCCACCCTGGAAAACAGGCCGCGGAATTCGTAGCAAAGGGTAACCTTACTGTCTGGCTCAACCAAAACCCCCCGGATGTCATTATCATGCTCCTCGGTACCAACGACGTCATCATCGGAAAGAGGTCTGTCGACGACATTCTTGCCTCGTACGACATCTTAATCGGACAAATGCGCAAGAAGAACCCCAATATGCAGATCGTCTTCTCTAACCTACTGCCTCTGGACCCAGCGAAGTGGGCTGCGTCTGCCGTAAAAGGAATCAAGGACCTCAACACTGCCATAGCCACCTACGCGCCGAAGAAGAGCACCACGAAGAGTCCGGTGTACTTTGTAGACAACTTTAGCGGCTTCGATCCAGTCAAGGATGCCGATTCGGACGGCGAGCATCCCAACCTGACTACGGGCGTGCAGAAGATGGCAGCCAAGTTCCTTGACCCTACCAAGACGGCAATAAGGGCAGCAGCTGCATTGAAGGCGAAGAGGGTCAAGAGGGCTGATAGGATGTTGAACTTGTCTGAGTAATAGGATGTTGAACATATCAGAGTAAACAGAGACAGATGTACATAGTAACGAATTCATGATCTTTCATTCTTTTCATAACTGAGCCTGGCTATCTTCAAGTACTTTTTCAAAGCAAGAGGCCATTATAATTGCGCCGCCAGACGGATACTACGGCCCGAGGGACGACTACGTGCGTGTGTCGATATGGCGAGCGGAGGTTTTCAGGGCTTTTCCGTAGTGTCAGAGTCGCCCTCAGACGCGTATGTATCCGTCTGCGCGGCGGCTTGCTCCCTGGCGGCCTTTCGCGCGGCCAGAATGCCACGAGATTTCTTACTCCTAACCAGCTTGGCTTCGGCAGCCTCAGCAGCCTTAACGGCAGCGACTTTCTTTGATTGGTCAGTATGATAGTCGATCTAGGAGATAGTCAAATACTTACGGCTGCCTCTGCCGCCTTAGCAGAGTGCATTGCAATGGCTACAGCCGCCGCCGAGTCCTTTTCATTACAGACGTAGGTGGTGTCGTATCTAAAGACCGGTGTACAAAGTCAGTACGTCTCTCATGCAGTTCGTACAGGGGCATTACTAACGCGCCTCGGCCCATTTGGTGAGGATGTTGTGAATCGCCTTGGTGACTACGTTGCAGTCCAATATGGCTATGGCCATTAGCAAAAGGCATTGCGAAGCCATGCGACATGCTTACAGTGATTGCGAATGTGGTGATTCTTCAACGACCACGGTCAAGTCAGAAATTTTGTATACAGCTCTTTCTTGTGTTAGCGCCATGGTGAAGGGCAGTCTCGAGAGACTGCTCTTCACCTTTAGTGAAAGAGGAGGCATAGCGGCGAGGTTCAGTTCAATGATAAGGAGGAGATTGACGAAGGAGCAAAAGGGACTACGGGAGAAAAAAATATATGAGAGTCAGCTCCAAGCATTGGCGGTCGATGAACTCGCCGTGAATGAGGAATACGGAAGATGCAAACGCTCCAAGAGGGGTAGTATTGCAGTGGCCGGGCGATATGCAGGGACGCTGGAATATCAGAATCACAACAGAAGGATCCAGGAGGAAAGATATTGAAAATCTAAATCAATGCAGTATGTACACATGCTATTCCACGTCTGCCAAAACCAACTCTTGAACTCTTATTTGGTGAGAACGACCTTGAGCTTCTTGGGCTGGTGAGTAAACAAGTTGGCATAGGCCTTGGGGGTGGTCTTCCGCTTGTTGGGCTCCTGGACAAAGTACTCGTAGCCCTGCTTGTTAGCAAACTTGATGGCATCCTCCTTGGATTTGAACTGTATCCGGTGGCCGTTCATGAAGTCGGCCGACGACTGCCAGCCCATGAGCGGGTTCTCCCATCGGTGGCCCTTGGGGAGGACGTCCCAGTCCATCAGCCAGTGTGAGGCGTTCCAGTCGCCGGATTGTGTGGCTGTCTTGGTGGGCTTGTAGATGCTGCAAGAAGTCAGTACGGGGGGCGGCGTCGGATGCGGGGGTTGCCGTACCGGACAGTACGCGCCTGGAGGTCGGTGGGAGCGCCGGAGAGAACGGCAGCGGCGACACTCTCACCGGGCTCGCTTCCATCCATGACACGCTTGGGGACGGGGGAGAAGTTGCTGGGGACATATTAGCCATATGCTCCCGTGGTTATTCTAGTCGCGGGTTGACGCACGAGGTCCGGTAGTCGATGGCGACATTGTAGTCTGGCTGGTGCCTCATGCCCTCGGCGGCGGACTCTTCGCGGATCTGGGTCGAGTCGCTGTTGAGCTTGACGGCGGGCGCATCCTCAGAGCTCGTCTTGTGGCCGTGGGGAGTGGGCTCGTTGGTCGCATATGTGCGGAACGACGGGGCCATGGCCCTCGTCGCAGAGGGCCGCAGGGCAGGGGCGAGGACGCGCGATGCAATTGACCTTGGTAGGGCAGACATGGTGGTTGTGTCGTCGGGGTGGCGGGCGGGAATCGTGAATGTCGGTCATGTCGACGGGATGAAGCTGGGGTGGTTGCTTGGCGAAGGCGCCGGCATAATCCGTCGTGCAGCTTTCTTCCTCGAACCTCACCACCGACCGCACGCCCTCCATCTCCACTCCATCGTCTTGCCCGCCCTGGTACGTCGTCCGAAGCGACCCACTACGCGGAGAGCGTGCAATTGATGCTGACTGAGCGGTAGCCGTCAAGATGAGCTTCATGCAAAAGCGCGGTCTCTCGACCCTCATCCCCCCCAAGGTACGCCCTTCTAAGCACCCCTCCAATCGCCCACGGAACTGACCATCCTCCCCAGATTGCTTCTCCCAATGTAAGAGCCTTCCAAACCATCGCCTAGGACGCCCTGGAACCCCCGCAATTGCATTCGCGCAACCGCCGGCCCACCACAAACGCACGCATTCACGACCGCAACTCCCCAACTGCAGACCCAATCGCAATTCCAGAACTCTCACCGTGGCGATTTTGGATCTGGGCTGATTTGCAAAATAGGCTATCGGCTCCTCCCCCAATGCTGTCCGCATGCAGAAGGTCGTGAGCTTCTACGAGAAGCTGCCCCGTGGCCCAGCTCCCGAGCCCGAGGCCAAGGGTCTTCTCGGACGCTACCAGAAGAAGTACATGGGCAAGAACCCATCAGGAAGGCGTGAGTACACCCGGCCGGAGAGGGAATGACAAGAGCATTGTCCTTGAACATGCGACATGCGCGTGAGAACACCAGACTGACCCTGTACAGCTCTCGTCCACGTCATTGGCTTCCTGATTGCGCTCGGCTACGCACAGAACTACTACTTCCATCTCCGTAAGTCGAATAAGATGCGCTGATGAGATGATGAGACTCACCACCTGCAGGCCACCACAAGAACAACGAGCACTAAGCGGGTCCTCTGGATGCGCTGTGTCGCCACGAGCGAATGGACAAGATGTGTATATGTAAAGTGTAGTTGGTGAATCAAGCCTCTAGCCAAGACCGTCTCTTCTCCTATCGTGCAAATGACTGTTTCCTTCTGTTTCAACATATCCACGTGTGCAGTGGCGGAGCCTCGTACACCTCTCGCTACGCCGACATGGTCATCTGGAACGGGGAAAAGGTGGTGTATGATCTGCGATGCTATGGAATATGTAACAGGACTTGTTGCAACACCTTCAACCTGATGGACGTTGAAGCACCGCACGTGCATGCCATGAGCATGTGTCATCAGCTTCCCGTACCTAGACGTGCATCGCCGTCAGAATTCTGTCGACTCATGAGTCCGCTCCCCATGTGTGATGCAAAGGTGCCGCGGCAGCAGTGTGAGATATAGGTTCCACAGCACGCAGACTCCATATATACAAGGCCCCAGCCCGTGCCAAGACTTGCGCCTCTCACCATCGTGGCTACTCAAGCTACCCGCCTCAACCTCCTATAAACCCCATCCACACCCGCGATCCGCCCCACCACGAAAGGGCCCTTTGTACCCAGTCACCCCTCCCGAGCGCGACTCCACGCCGTTCGGTGAATCAGCGCGACCCAGCACGTGTCCGCGACTGCCTCCAGCCCGCGCATCCTCCAGCGAAACACTCCGAAACCTCCGCACTCGCCGCGTCACCTCAGCAACTTGCAGAACGCAACTCTGCGGAAGCGCCGACTTGACATCCGTGGCGACTTGTAGCATCTGACATTAGGTGATTATCCCCAACTTTTCTTTAGCCCTCATGTCGCATGTCGACGATGTCGGGCGTCCGGCCGGGCTCGACTCGCAGCAGTCGACGCCGCTTACGCCAACGTCTTTCTTTGGATCAGATCAAGGACAGCTTTCTGACATTGGGTCTTGCGCCACTTCAGTTCCGGAAACTGTTATGGCAGAGCAGGTTGCCAACGATGTGGTAAAGGAAGCACAGTCGGTGGGTCGTTCTGCGCCCATCGACGACTCTGCGTCAACTACCAACACCCCCGCCGTTAACGGCGAACCGCCCTCGGGCACAGCGACTACCAAAACGACCACATCAGAAGCGTCTTCTACCAAACCCATTTTGAATGGCGCAGATGCACCCTCGGCTGATAGTGCACACGTGTCAGACAAGACCCAGGGACATGCGGCAGCTGTGAGTAGAGATTATGCCGAGTTTCGACGCGGCCCTAACAGTAACAGGGCGAGAGCAAGCAGCCAGATGCATCACGGCAAGAGTCCAGACAGCCCCACCTCAACGGCCTATCCAGCGAACATCTGGCGGCCGAGTCGCAGGCTGTGGCAGACGCGAGTGGTGGCTCAGATACCGACATTAGCCGTCCTGGAAGCGTAGACCAGTCGAAGCGGGATGGGACTCATGTGCGGACCAACTCGACCGCGAAGAAGCAACCGTTCAAGTCAGTATCCGTAACCAAAAGCTTTCTAGCCAAGACAGTCCCCTCAACACCTGCTGCGCGACCTGGCGAGAAGGCAGCCCCAGCAGCCCCGCCCAAGACGTCAGTCCTCACCGCGAAGCCCCGCCTCGTAGCCAAATCTGGTGCTGGCAACACCCCGCGTGCGCTGGGACAGACCAATGGTGCAGGCGCAGGTCCAGATGCGAGCAAGGTTTGGAATAAGAACCAGCCGGTCCCAGCTCCCCCGCCCAAGACGTATACGGACGACGAACTCAAGCAACAGTACGGCATTCATCTTGCAACACGCTTACAGGCCGACGAAGGGGGCAAAGAGGCCAAGTGGGCTGACATTGACGACGATGAGGAAGACTGGACCCCGGAAGCAGTGCAGTGGATGGATGGAACCAAGTCCTCAGTTGCAGTGCCACAAGAGACGCAGCCACCACCTGCTGAGGAACCAAAGACTATACTCAAGCCAGAGACGCCTGCCGAGACACCCAAGCCCACTACATCACCAACGCCTACTACGAACACGCCCAAACCAAGCGTCACCGGCGGTACCAAAACTATCCTGAAGCCCGGCGCACACGCGCAGCCGACTACTGGAAAATCAAGTCTCGTCCTGAAGGGACAGCCGGAAAGACCAACCCTGGTGGCCAAGCCATCAGCCACAGAGAAGAAGTCACCATGGGCGCCCTTGCCTCCAGTCGAGAAAGTATCGCCGATTCAGGTCAACCCTCCAGTACAGCAAGCACCTCCGCAGCGCTACTCGCAACGAGACTCTTATGGCTACGATTCCATGCCCCCACCCGCGAAGGAAATTGCCCCCGATGACTTCAACCGCAACTGGCGCAACGAAAGTGGCAGTTGGGACAATCGAGACGGCCGGGAGCTGTACAATTCACAGAGTGGTCGCTATGAGCCTGTACATAATGATATGAGGCGGAGTTCGGGACGTGATAGTGGTAGCTACCGACAACAGCCGTCTGCCGTGCTGCAGAGGCCGTCTCACGATGGTGGTCCAGCAGAGCCGTCAGCAGCGTTCCAGACATCAAGAGCAAGCGCAGATGGTCCTACTTGGGGCAGGAGGAGGAACTCGTCCAACGTCAGTGGAACAATGCCGAGGCGCATGTCAATGGACCCAAGAGGAACAGATATGCCTACTGGCCCTATGAGCACAGAACGACGTGAATCACACTCGATCAACGGCTTCGACCCGTCTTCTTCGGACCCTGCAACTTCCAGACACTCTCCCTTCCAGCAAATGAGGTCCCCAAACGTTGCCCAAGCTCACCCGGCTTCTCCCTACGGATCAGTAACCTCACCAGCTGTCCAAGATGCACCAACGCCTGTTCCAGCACCGCCAGCAGAAAACCCTGTCGAGGTACAGAAACGCCTCATGGCCGAGAAAATCGAGCGTGCTCGTCTCAAGAAGCAGCAAGATCGTGAAGCCGAGCAACGTGCAGAGGCAGAGAGGAAAGAGCGACTTGCCAAGAAGCTGGCCGCTATGGGACCGCCTGAGTCGAAGGCCAAGAACAAGGACCAGTCACCTACACGCCCAGAGCAGTCCCCGCAGAAAGGCAAGGCTGCTCCTGCCCCCGTGCAATCACCGCCAAAGCCACCTGTCCCGACTGCCGATGGTGAGGTCACACAGTATGGTATGATGAAGGTCCACCAGCCTCACCCTGTGAAGAAGTCGCCTCAGACCGAGCATGCCCAGGTTTCTGGGCCGGCATCCCACGCAGCAAATTCCTCGCCGGCGGCTGCAGCGTCGTCACTCGATCAGCAATCGGCACAGCCGTTTGACTCCTTCACGCGTGACAACGAAAAGTCCAGGCTAGCAACTGAACAATCTCAGACGATCGCTCACCAATCGGACGGCGCTATCCCTTCTGGGCCTAGGCCACAGGCACCTCCAGCATGGTCGCAGGCGTCTTCCACAGCGCCTCAACCTAGACCTTGGACTTCGCAGGTTTGGGGTCCCCCGAAAACGCAAGATCGAGCTCTTGGTAACGGTACCTTCGACGCTGATTACCGAGGTCAGTCCCGCTCTGGTGCCCAGCAGCAACTTCCTGTCCAGCCACCTGCCTCGACAGTTCCCATTGGCACAAGCTTGGCCCCTCAGGCTCTACCGGCACAGCCAGGAAGGCAGATGCCTCCGTCGCAACAGATGTACTCTCAGCGACCATCGCGTGCACAACAGCAGCAACAGGCAGCAGCGGCTAGAGCGGCTAGACCTTCTAGGACCATTGCTGGCGGTGGTTGGGATACATTTGGAGACCTTATCGAACGCGATGATGCCGAACTTGCGGCAAAGAACCACCAGGATCGAGAGCGCCATGGTGACTTCCGCCCAGAACTTCGAGAGACATACAAGGACCAGCGGGGTCAAGCACAGGTAACGCTGCATGACAAAGTCGCTGCCGACATGACTCTTGCCGAGGCGTTGAAAAAGGACGACACCACAAAGCCTGTGATTGACGGCTCGTCGCCTCAGCAAGGTTTAGGTCAAGGTTCTCTACAGCAGGCTACTGGCCCTCGTGCATCTCGCTTCTTCCCTCGCCCGACTGAGATCTCGACCGAGGCGACGCCGTCATCATCAACGTTTGCATCAAGTAAGGCTGATTCTCCTCCACCGCCTCCGGAGACAGAGACACACCCTGTTTTCGGCAGCGAAGCCGGCCACCCGTTGGTAAGGCTCCCGAAGCCGTCGCCTGTTGTACGACTCCCTCCGTCGGCGTCAGGTAGCGGACCGGCTGCTGCTTCCCATGTGAACTTGCCCTCGCGTGGCCAGGCTCTAGGTGCCAGACCTCTTGCAATGAACCCGGAATGGCAAGCTCGGTTTAACAAACTCCTTGACAAGCCAGGCTCCAACCGTCCCGCAACCCTTCCGGGAACATCACCAATGCTGCCTGTCGCTGTCCCACAGCAAGGTGCAGTCGCCCCGGCTGCCTTGTCAAAGGCTTCTCTTGACGTCAGAGCAGGTACTGGTCCCGCCACTGTGTCCTTGCCTAGTATGTCCCAGACGAAGACCTTTGCAGATGATCGTGGAAAGGACGTGGTCACCCGCAACGGCGCTGAGGCACTATTCGAAGATAGAGAATTCGGCTCGCTGCCTACGGTCAAGTTGTCCAAGGTCCCTCATCTCGCTGCCAACCAACCACCCAAGGCCGCGCCTAGAGACGAGCAGCAACCAAGGTACAAGAAGTTCGAAAACCCTTTCACGATCCGTCGACTAGAGGCTTTCGACATCGAGAAGACTGCACAAAACAAGACAAAGTTTGATGTCGTTGTGCGCCTTGTTACCATGCGCGAGCCGGTGATCAAGTCGGTACAAAGGAAACACTATGGCCCTAAACTCACCCGCCAGCCTAAGCCCAAAACGACTGGTCCTCCAAGCACCACTTCTGCCAACAGTACGAAGGATCGCCCGCGCAAGCCGTCGCAACAGAGTCAGGCAGACCGTTCTTATAACAGCAGCAACAACACTACTTCCCGTCCGTCTGCACCCAAGACTTGGTCCACGAGCAACAACAACGCTCCTCGCTCGTCCCCAGCCCACACAGCTACGACTTGGGCTAAGGTTGCGACAGCCTAAGTGTCTTCTATAGTTGCTTCGGCTAGCTCCAACAACTACTACACGGCATGATCAAGGCGTGATGTTGAATGTTCGGCGTTACAAACAATTTCAGTTGCGGGATCTGCTCTACGACGATCAAGAGTTGACGTTGGAGCATTGTCGGATAACTCTATGAAGTGTTTCACTCGGTCACTACATGTACTGTTCTCATCACAGCACACCATTTCACCCTTTTCCCCCTCAGCAGCAGTATATATCGCGACATCTTGTACCACAACGATTTGAGTGGACCACAAGGTCGCTTTTCTTGGGAGGCAGTGTACTCCCAGCCTTTTCTTTCACTGGACTCTTAGTCCTTTCTTCTTGTCTTGGGTGTGACATCACTTTCGGGTCTGCATGTTTTTTCTCAGACCTTCGTTCATCTCCTTTTGCCATGACCGGCGTCAGGACGCGAATATGGGTATTGATAACTACGACGGGATATGACCTCGTGGATGCGGAATTGGAACGATGATAGAGGATTCGTGTACTGCTAATAATATTTTGAAAACTTCATGCTATAGTCCCATATGGCTCTTGTAACGATGAATCGGTTTATTGTTGCTCATGACCTGGAGCTAAGCATCTAATTGTCTGACAGGGAAGTTTACTGCCTCCAAGTTGGTATCTTCAACCTGCTTTCCGCTCGCTGCGGTGATGAGACCATCCAACCAATCCTGATGTCCCAACAACATCTTGTTCGGCTTCTGTACCTCCCACTCCTTGAACACTTGTCCAATTTGACTCTCCTGCGTCAGGATTCTCACTCTCTGTCCCTCCAGGTCCTCCACAACCCACGCATGATAGATTTCCAGCCCATCCGATGTCTTCGAGCTCCATGCCAACCTTCCAGCACGCCCATTACTCTCTGGAGGCTCCGACTCCTGGACCGTGCAAGTCAGCGGTGGGAAACCGAAAGTACTGAATTTGAAAACGTCATCTTCGTGCAGGAAGGTGCTGTCCGATGACGGAGGCGTTATCTGAGCGCAGTTCTTGTAGTAAGACTTCCATTTCGAGATATTGGCTAACAGGGCCCAGATTTGGGTGCTGGTTAGATCTTTCACGATGCGTTCGTTTGAGACAAAGTTGTCTGTCGTGCCAGGGAGGAAGTGTTGCGGCCAGTTGATCGCTGACTGGGTCGCCATGTTGATGGATGAGTCTGTAATTGGGTATGGGCTCTTGTCTTTTTTGTAGATATGGGTGTAGAGCGAATATGCAGGTACTTGGTCGTTCAAGTAGCAATGGATATCGTTGACGCTAACATGTGGCGCTTACACATCATCATACCCGGGAAAGACTACTTCCGGGTGGATCTACAGAATACAATAGTCTGCACTGTTATACCGTAAAGTAAAGAATGACTGGTAATCTTTTGCACCTTGTTTCAATGCTGGAGAAGGCGATGGTGGCTAAACGTTTCTTGTGGTGATCGACTTGTCGACGTCATCATGAAAGCTCGATTCCGATGTGAGTAATTACACCCTGGATGGACTAACAGGATAGTAGAGAAGTAATGAACACCAAATACTGACAAAAGTAGAAATATGAGATCTTCCAGAAGTGACTATCAACGATGCTGTACGTTCTTTCGGGTAAAGCATCACCCCACCTGAAGCCCGGTGACGGCTTAGGGAGTATTGTTAACCAGGATCGCGTTGTTGAAATGAAAACTTGTAACAGCCACAATAAGCTCATCCTCTGGACCACTCATCTGCAATCCGTTGGCCTCTATTAGTTTTGAGCACATCTCTTTCAATGGGCAATTCCTGCGGTTTCCATGGATCCCTGCAGGACAAAGAACAACAGCAGCCTTCCTGACGACGTATTTCTCGACAATGACATCGCCGTCAAATCTTTGGTCATCTGTTGCGCTGTATTTGTGTAGAGTTGTTGATACTGCCTGAAGGTACTTGGCTTGTCTGATCCAATCCCGCAGTCCCTCCAACATGAAATAATCCGCTTCTGCTTCTACCCGACAGTAGAGCGCATAGTCAAAGCCGTCTTTCTTATTCCAGTAGAGAGGAAATCTCGAGGGTCGGCGCATGAAGTTTAGGATATGCTCGAAGGTATCGGCATCCGCGTCGACGTAACAGGAGCCGTCGGCCTGCAAGTCTGCACAGTCTTCCCATCGTGTGAGTAGACTTTCAAAGTAAGGCGAGACTGAAAGAACGGATTTTGAAGTGCGAAATTTGCGACCGGAGACATCGAGGATGATGTGATTGTCCGCCATGACAAGAAGAAGTGGATGTAGCTTGTCTGTTGATAGAGAATTTGTAGAAGGCGGGGTATCAACTTGTGTGCAACACGACATGCACAAGATCCTGTCCTCATATTGAGTCCTCGCGTAACATTCTGTTTAGATCCACGAGTGCGCGGGCGGAGCCCAAAGCCACATTTCACATCGCGCTCTCAGTTGCAACTTACAGTCAGAGGAAATTGGCTGCTTCGGGGAGACTCCCGCTTCTTCAAAGTATCTTTAGAAGGCATTGGTCACATTGTATATAGTCAACTTAAGTAACGCCACCAGTCGCGGGCTATGCGCAATCTAAGTCTGTATCGATATCTGCACTACCTCTTAGTACACATGCACGCACTACATCCGGTTCACTTCGGTATAATCCCTAGCATTTCCACGTCCACTCATCGTCTTCTTTCCAACATTTCCTATCATATATCGATGTATGCGATCCCCAGACAAGTCTTGGAAATGTCGGTGCGTAATCGTTGCTCACAGGTTGTTGATGTGGCGGAGTGTATTGGCAATGGCACGCTGCGTCCATACACTGCGATGACTGGACTCGAGTTTCTCCCACAAGGGGTACGAACTGTGTTTCTAGGAATCGCATATCATGATCCGGTGGCTGTTGATATGGCTGAACATGGTTCCACGATACTGGCTTTGTCGGCAGCGAATAGCCCGTCTCATAATTCGGAATCCACTGGGTAAACCTCTCACACTCGCAAGCAGGGTAGCTCATGTCGTTGTCAGTCACAAAAGAAAGACCGAGCCCTGGGTTTTGACGAAGGAACTGGTCGAAAGGTTGACTCATGTGAGGGTTTGAGGGAACCGCAAGGAATTCTTCGTACGGATCATGACGATGGGTGTTTGAGCTAGGTCGGTCGACCACATAGGCTGAGAAGGTACTTTGCGACAAGGATGGCGCCATGTTGGACCGAAATTGAGTTGTATTGACCGGCCGCTCTCCGTTGATGGGGAGTAATTTCTCTATGAGACGGGCACCCCGCTCTGGAGCCAAGTCCATTTTACTGCGCATTGGATCGATGTTATGATCGATGTTATTTCCATCATAGCCTGGTCTCAAGGCTTCCGAAGTGCTCACAAGAGTTGCGAAGTCGACTAGAAAATCGAGGGCGTTCATATTGCTGGTTGATCAAGAAGAGATATTCGGGCGAACAGGGAAGAATGAGTGAGAGTTCAGATAGAGGACTTCCTAGCGCATCCTGACGGTGATTGTCTATACCAGTAAGTTGTCACACTCATGGTACTCGCACCAAACGGGTGTAGCATAACGTCGCCTCGTTGTACCCGTGGAGATGCAGCCTATCAGGAGTGAGCTTCGTGTCTGGAAAGCTCTCGTGATGCGATGTGATGATTCAAACGTAGTTTGATGCAAGAGGAGATGTGGCTTGCCCATGAACGTACACAAGCTGCCTTTCTTCTTGGAGGGCATTGCCCTCTAGTTCTGTCGATGCACTTGTGACAAGAATGCTACCATTGCACAACAGCTTCACAGAGCCATTAGCAGAGCTATAGGATAGCCTTGACTTGATCGAAAAGGCGAGGTCCTTGTTTGCTTGAGCGTAGCTCGTTACGAGATGCTGGGCGTGTTCCATTAGCGAGCGGTGCCCTACTTTTGCACAACGGCGCCGGTTCGCGTCGTCTCTAACCAACAAATGTATGGGTTAGTGTGGTAAGACTGCCTGTCTTATGTTCAAAGAGCGGAATCCGAGATGCGATGCGGCTCGATCGTGACAAATGCATGCGCTGGGGTCAGGAAGCATCTGGCAGGTTATCTCTCAAGAGACTGCCAATGCGTTATTAATGCGTTTTTCATTTGAGAAATGACGGCAAACGTTGGCGTGCAGTCAGTATGTAGATGCAAGGCGCGGTGTTGTCTGTGGGAGACTTGGGTCATCGCCGTCGACTGTGCCGGGCGTGAGCCTGTCGCTAGCGCGGGGACTTGTTAACGATCAACCTTGGAACCCACTCATTCATCCACATCGAGTAATGCGCGTAGCGCGACGCGTTCAATGTGTCGCTTCGAGCTCTTGAGCTTGCTTATTGTGTTTTTCGAGCGACTGGCGGCACGGAAGAAGCAGTTCCGCGCATCCAGCGATCTATCAGCGCCACGACCATGCTCCACGAAATCCTCCTCTCGCTCTCCGGGCACCCGTCTGCGCTCTTCGATGCCCCGGACCACGTGACAGCAACCGCACATCGTCTACTCTCTCCGCCCGAAGCAGAGTTGCTGTCTTCCATCGGCCATCTGTCGCGTCTGCATCGAAGTACACGCGATCATGTCGCCAGAATTGCCGCGTCTCACCCTTCAGTCATCTGTAGGGCAGTTGCTACTTCGATTACTTCTTACCACCTCGAACGGTTCCAACGCAAAGTGCTGGAAGTCGAGAGTCGTATTCTGAAACAAGATGCTTCCATCGTGGGCGCGTACAACATCGTACCTTTAGCTGGGGTCGTGAGTGAGTTCTCCGAATGGACTAGAGTCATGGAATGGCTGCGGGACATCAGCAACTACATGTTACCATCGGATGTTCCTGCAAAGTTCGAGAAGATGATCGGACAGGCTGCCTCTGGAGCTGCTGTCATCGATAAGCTGCGGAGTGAAGCCCAAACAGGCTACCCGGATATCGAAGAGGCCGCTCGAGGTTTGAGCAAGGTTGCAGAGACATCGTGGCTGCGACAGCTATCCACCTGGTTGCTATATGGCCGACTCCCATCGTTTGGCCGCTCGGACTTCTTTATTCAGCAAGACGACGAAGACGCGGACGAGCAAACTTTTGTTCTACAGAACAAGCTACTACCCAAATTTGTCACAAGGCAGACGGCTCTTTCTATTCTCTTTGTTGGTAAATCGCTCAACCAGATTCGCTCGTTGCCGTCGGCTGTGAAGGTGTTGGACGCATCGAACTCAGTTTCAGAGCTTGATCTGTTGCCCAAGCATGTTCAACAACTCTCTCGAGTGAGCGCACCAGTATCAACAGCCATGCTTTCCGAGGCAATTGCGAACATCCGTCTCTCACTATCTCGAAACCTTCTGCAGCATCTTTTACCGCGCGAGAGAATTGTCGAGACACTGACGGTGCTACATCAGTTCTTTCTGATCGGAAGAGGAGAGTTTGCCTTGACACTGATCGCAGAGGCAGATGGCAAGATCTCGTCCCGGCACAAAGGCTCACAAATCAACAAGCCTGGCCAATCCGTCAGGGGCGTCATCATCAAAGAAGCGGAGATCAATCAGGTCCTCGCACGTTCGTTCTCTATTCTCTCAACCCTATCTAGCGAAGACGAACACACGGACGACATTCTGGATGTCGCAACTCAACTCTTACATCTCAGCACCAGCAACACGTCTAACAACCGTCCGGGGACACCAGGGCGCGCCAAGGATGCGGACTCGATGCTTCCACAGCTTGCCAACATGTCCTTTGACGACCTACTGCTATCAGTACCAACGTCTTTGACGATGGATTTACGCTCACCTCTTGACCTGTTCATAACGAAGGCAGATCTTGATGTTTATTCATCCATCAATGCTTCCCTACTTGCTGTCCGAAGAGCCCATCTACATCTAGCTGAGCTTTGGCGATACAGCTCGATACGAAGGGATCATCCTTGCCCGCCCGGGTATCAATACAGCAACTCCGCGCACGGTAAAGCAATGCTCAAGCGACGTCGACAACGCACTACGAAGCGAGCACAGGACATGCGGAAGATCTGGGCGACCTGCGCAGCCGCTATCTTTTTCTTTGCAGAGAGCGAAGCTTACTTTCACGGAGCAGTCATACAGCAAACCTTTAGCCATTTTATCGCATGGGTCACTGTTCCCCAAGGATCTTCGTCAACGGAAACAGTAACAGCAGCCTTCGACCGTACAAACACAATTAGCTTCCGCGAGTCCGTGACAGAAGGGGATCTACAGAAGCAGCATGATCCAGAAGCGCTAGCTTCAGCACATCGCCGCTTTCTGTCTTCGGTCGCATACTCTCTTCTCCTTACTGACCAGCCATTCACAAAGGCGCTGCGTACACTATGCACCCACGTCGACGAGCTAGTGGCATACATCACACGTCTCACAAAGATACAGCAAAATCTGGATCTCGAAGAAGATGAAGGCATAGAAGATTACTCGCAGAATTACAAGAAAGAAGAGAGTGAGGTCAGTCTGGAGATGGATCGTGCGAGGAGAAGGCTGGACAGCGATCTTAAAGCACTTGTAGAGCGGCTGCGTGAGATTGACAGTGAGAGGATCGGAGCTTCTGCGCCAGGTACAGAAACTGGAGCGACGATGGAGGAAGGAGCCTACGAACCGTTGAGAGTAGGTGGTATTGATCGTCTTCTGATGAAGCTGGACTGGAGCGGCGAAGATGAAGAAGAAGAGCATGAGGACTTGATATGATGTTTTACACACGAGTCCTCTCCTGCTGTTAGGATATCCAAGGCTAAATTTCCGTGGTCTTGGCTCGCTTTTGGTGTTTTTTATACCTACATGATGGTAGAGGAAGTTGCACCTCACGTTCTGTTGCGATGCAGCAGTACAGAGCGGACCTTCTCCAGACTTCTACCAGCCTACTTCCACCGCCCCATCATCACGTTAATTCACCACACCAATTTACTGCCTTATCAGTATTACTCTGTCGCATCAATACTTCGTGAGTTCTCATGATGAAGCTCGCAGTCCTACTGCTGACAGGACCAGACCTCTCGCTCGAACCGCAAGTTCCTTCGAACTCACCATCATATAGTACATAACCCGACGTGCTCGCTCTGCCAGTATGAGGGATTCGATAAAATGCTTTCTTCATGACGAGGTCCCGGATACAATGGAATCATGTACTGTGGACGATAATCAAATCCAGTCGTCCCATCCTTCCACGTGGAGGTCTAGAATCCGAGCTGCCACTGATAGCTTCGCCTATCCACTGCCTCCTTCGAGGACGTCAACCGAAACGCCACGTAGGCGACGGTACTACATCTGTTCTGAAATAGATTCCGGAGTTTACATGCCGTCGGGTCCATTCGACAGAGTTTCAGGTCATCCTACATCACATCATCGACCCGAGGCACCATCAAACCCTGCATCCAATCTTCCGACGTCACATTATCGTCCCCAGGGACTATCGACCCTTACTTTCAATCATTCCCAGATACCATCGAACCCTTTCGAGGATCCCCAATATGTGATCGGCGTAACCGTACCGAAGAGACGGCCAATGCGCGAATGGCAGGATGTCCTGGAAGATCAGCGCTCTGATGCGTCTGCGGGTGCAGTGAAGCTGAGATATGGCAAGGTCTACCTCAGACGCCAACGAAGTCGCGTCCAGGCTGTGTTCACAAGCGCCAAGAAGACTGGCTGCGAAAGTCAGCAGCGAGCTGCATCAACTTTGCTCAAAGGGCAAGGTACACACCTTGGGCGTGACACTATGCGAGGACTACAATGTCCAGACTGTCGGCGGGAGATGAAGGCCAGGTCGCTTGCGAGGTGATCTGTGAGCTGTGAGCTGGCTTGACGCCAGTGGTTTCTCGTGTACTACAGTTGCAAAGCTTGCGTTCGTTCGTACTCGTCCAGTAATCAAGACTTCTTCTAAGCAGCTAGCGATATCCTGATGCGTCTGACTGCGGGTGATGATTGGCAAGATCTCGGTATTTCTCCATTTGATAAGCACGGTTGTTCGCTTGGAGAAGACACCCCTTCGTATTGTATAACATACGACGATTAGTACGAATAGATCCGCTATTGCATCGCCACACTGAACTAGTGCTATCGAGAGACGAATGTTTGTTCGACCGAATCGAGGCTAAAGTGGCAGCAAGAGAGGGCAAAGAAACAAGCTGCGCGCTGCAAAAAAAAGTTTTATCGTATTGGAACAAAAAAGGTCGTGCCCGGGTTCGAACCGGGGTTACCAGAAGGTTGATAGAAGTCAAAATCTGGAGTGATAACCACTACCTGTATTGGCGGTTAGACAGACTTCATGTTAGAACGAGTTGGGTCAACGTACACTACACAACCATGTTGTTCTGTTTGATGCCTTTTGATTCTCTTGTCACGCATATATTGCCGTTTGTGTGTGTCCATGCGGACAGGTCGCGCTTTTTTAGTTCAGTGGTTTCAACCTCGGGCGCAACTGGGTGGCGTGTGGGGCCGCTGAGGTTTACGAAGCGGGGCTTAGGCAGACACACGTCAATTCGTAGTCCAGCCATCGCGCACGCTTTGGACCTGAACACTGTCAAAGCTCACTTCTGCCCTGCTCATAATCCTCTGCGAACGTCAACTACCCCGCATGCTGCAATGTAGGGTCGACATATTGTGAAGACTCCGCGACGCTGTTGTACAGCGAGCCCTGAGGCAGTTTCAAATTCATCGCGACGCTCCCTCACCAGACTTACAAACTTGAGCCTCTAGACCAGGATGACGTCGCGAAAATCTGTCTTGATTGCTCGGGTACAACACAACCTTACCGACTGGTCTCCATCAAGGAGAGCAAGCGATCATGCAGGCCGCGGACAGCTAGCAAAACAAGATTCAGCCTCAAATGCACGCAGGGGCCGCCCTAAATGATAAGAACGGACGGGTATCGTATCCTAAACTGAGTGCCAAGACGTACGTCAGACAATGGTAATTTGTAGCAAGCATCGTGCCTGCGACACATTATGTTAAGTAACAAGGAAGAGCCATGTACCTTCAGGCATATTTACGCGACCTTCGATATTCGCTATACAAGCCGATTGCACGATGACCATCCATATTGATACCTTCTCCGCCAAGGCCACCTTCGATTTTAAGGACAATGAATTGGCTACCAGCGGGCTGGAGTGTGCAGAAGTTGTCGATAAAGATGATGGTGATGGGAGGTTCCGCGGCCAATCGAACCCGATTCTCAAGAAAACTTTGGTAGATGTACACCACAATCTCAGTACGTTGAAGAATGTCAGTTGGCTCCCTGGAGTTGGCGATATATACAACGGTACGCCAGGAGGAGGCGGCGGCGGCGAGGGCATTGCCATTTCCCATCCATACGAGAGTAGGCACTGCCTTTCCCCATGGCCCTCTTCCAGCTTAACACAGAGAGGAACTCCAATGCTAGACAAAGGCCGTCAGCCTGAAGGTGCAAAAGACACTCGACGTAGTGCACTCCGACGGCACTGCGATTTCTGGGATGCCGACCAAGATGGAGTGATCTACCCTTGGGACATATTCATAGGATTCCGCAAACTCGGTTTCAACATCGCCCTATGCCTATGGGCAGCGGTCACCATGGCTGCATGCTCGTCGTACAGCACACAGAAATCCTTTCTCCCACATCCTTTGTTCGCCATTTATCTCGATAATGTCAATCGCAATCGGCATGGAAGTACTACTGGCGCGTACGACTTGGACGCTGAACTGGACACACGGCGTTTCGATGCAATCTTCGAAAAGTACGCCAAAGGCAAGGACTACCTAACATGGCGAACTATGTACGGTGTGTGGGTAAGTTGCTGTTGTAAAAACTTCATGCGAGACATACACTGACTTCGTACCCCCCTCCTACAGGCAGGTCAATGTTGCGCAAACGATTTCTTTGGATGGTTTGCTGGAGGCTTAGAATGTGGGTCATAGCGCACGACCCCAACAAATTATTCTGCAATCATTAACGCTCGATAGGGATAGCAATGTACATCCTGCTTTGGCCCCAAGATGGTCGAATGCACAGAGACGACATCCGAGGAGTATACGATGGTTCCATCTTCTGGAAAATTGCCGAAGCTCGCGCTCAAAAGTTGCAAACATGAGACTCTAAGCAGTGGAGAAGACCTTGTTTAGCTAACTGTAACATAGTAATCATAAAAATAGAATTACCTTGTACAAAGGACAGAGCGAACTATTACAGCGACAATAAGTGTTTCATTGCAGGCTGCATTAGCTGGTTGAGAGGAAGCCTTTGAGGAGCATCAATCACTCGCAAGAAGTGAATCTAGCCACTAATTGCGTTGATGAAGGGGTATGGCTTACAACGCTTCATGTGCACAGGACGGGATGTTAAAACTACTGTTACCACGTGGGTTGCAGTAGAATTAATATTGGAACGTCTACGATTGGCTTCACTGCGAGGACACACAACCCATGGAAATCTATGAGACCGAGATCTGTGTGGAAGGACTACGATAGGCTTGCGACGTGACGAACTTAGACATTTGGACGCAAGCTCTTCTCAGCACCACTTCCACTCTTAGTTCAATAAAGAGCATACGATACGAAGCACTGCCATCAAGTCAACTGCCCTCGACAGAGGATACAATTTTGGCAGATGCAGCTACGAGGACGGCAAACAAAACCCAAGCTCTGGCGCTTACTATTGACGAGACGAGTCAGCAGAACCATCATGAGCGGAAGGTTGAGCGGAAGTAGAGTAATATCTTCTCTAGGATACTTGGACCATTAGGTAACTAGAAAGATTGAACTGCATAGTTCTGAGATTGAAGACGAAGTAATATGTGAAACATTGTCACCTTCATAATGTAATAGGGCTTAATTTAGAGATGGTCGGAATGGTAATTCTTAGAACCTTGGCAAGAAGTCATGCGAGGTTCGCTCATTAAGTTCATATCATGTTTCAAATCTTGACTTTGCTAATTTGTGTACTCTTTTGTTTTTACATCTAGATTTCGTGTCCGCAAGTTGATAGGTGCATCTCTCCCTCCGCAGGCAGCGTCCATCTGGGCTCAACGCCGATGATACCGCGCTCAGTAATCATGCTTGCGTTAACTGGGCTCTTGGGGATGATTTCCTCACCCCTGGTAGCCAAGATCGAGAGTACGTGCGCAGCAGCCTTAGCGTTGATGGTCAACGTCTCTGGGTTGGGGTTGTCAATGGTGTCGCAAGCCTGGTGGTAGCAAGGGTCCTGCTCGACACCTGTTCCGGTGTGAAGACCACCAACAGGTTTGCCGATGTTCATAAAGGATTGGTAGTCACTTCCACCAGTGAAGCGTGCTGCTGTGACATTTACGCCTTCCTTCTCGAAATGCTCAACAAAAAGCTTCTCAATGGCAGCTGATCCTGGGGCACCGGTGAGGTTGAACGTGCTGCCGTCACCATCGAACACACCAAAGTAGCCGCGGGAGACCATGTCAAAGTTGAGGTATGTGAGGATGTTGTTGGCCTCTGTGGCGTTCAGATTCTGTGTGTAGTACTTGGATCCAAGTAGACCGTTTTCTTCAGCACCCCACCATGCGAAGCGTACTTTGTTCTTGACACCGAATCTCCTCAGTGCCTTGGCGATCTCGAGGATCAGCGTGCTGCCTGAGCCGTCGTCGTTGATACCAGCACCAGCCTGAACACTGTCGAGATGTGCGCCAAGCATGATGACGTTGGTTGGGTCGCCATCTTTGGTCTCGGTGAAGACGTTCTGCGTAATGCGCGTTTCTACGGTTTGGGTTTGCTGGAAGTACGCCTCAATGGTCTCGCCAGCCTTAAGGCGAGCAACCAGGGGTTCCGCATCGGCGAGGTTGATATAGCCAGTGGAGACGTATTCAGGGTTGGGGTTGGATAATGTACCGCCAGTAACATTTGCTGTGTCGCTTGCGTAGATGATTACGGCAGAAGCGCCGGCGGCAGCGGCAGGCTTCATGCGCCCAGCAAGGGTTGTGCCATCGGGGCATGCTCCTCGCTGTACCAAGACGATCTTGCCTTCGACATCCAAGCTGTCGTAGGCTTCGTTTGTGCAACCTTCAGCTCCTGAAGGACCCAGGACAAGCGGCAGCGTCAAACCTTCCGGAGTGGTGGATGGCGAGTATGAAAGTCCAATAACGCGGTAGGAACTGTTGCTCACGCTGAACTCGATAGAATCAACTCTGTTGAAAAGAGCAGGAAAGTCCTGAGTCCATGTCTTGAAATGTGTGTTCTGGGTTTTGGCGAGCATGTAGTCAACAGATGCAGCATAACCTGGGAGACCGAAAGCACGATTGCCTCCATTTGCTTTTGCGATGGAGTCAAAGGCCTTGAGGTTGCTCATCAACCTGAGATGGTCAGTTTTGTCAAATTTTGTGACTTGGAGATCTTACTTCTCAGTTTTGATCTCAGCCTGGATGGGGCCAGATGACACCAAAGGCCGGGGTCGCACAGCAGCAAATGCTTGGGCAGCGCCCGCGAGAACGATAGCACTTGAAACCTTCATCTTGGAGTTTCGATTGACCAGCTCCAGTAGCAATTATGAAAAGTATGCAAGTAATATCTTGAGGTGGTAGCCGAGCTCATATACACATGTTCCCCGCCACTTGCTGTTCCGGCCTCCTGGGCATATGCAGCTCATTTGTGCGCGCGACACCGTTCCTGGCCCACTCTTATCATGGCCTTGCAGGTACTGTGTCCGGAAAAGAAGGTAACAAGAGAGTAGATCGTTCTTTGCCAAGTTGCCAAGGGGCGGACATTGATACCTTCCCTAAGGGCGATAGACTGGCTTGGCGTGAAGGTTAATATCGCCACGGATGTTGTGTCTTCTACCCGAAAGTGACGAGAACAGTCGAGATGCTCAACATGTTCTTAGACAGCTGGTTAAAGAGACGCAAGCTTTGCCAGTGAATATGGTCTGCTCCATGGCTCTTGCGTAGTGTTGGTATTTGGGCTCGTTCAAGTGTCGATCCAAGAAGAAACTGAATACGAATTTAGGATCCGAGGTATTGCATAATGATGCAGGTGTAGTACCCTCGGTTCAACCTGGTACAGTTCTACCAGATCTTGCCTTGACGACGGGTGTAGGGAATCCTGACCATGAGTGTAGCGAGACCAACATATATAGCTCGCAAAGGGAGCGAGTACCTGAATGTCAGAGTCCATCCCTGGGCGCGTCCAGTTCTTCCTGAACACAATATGTATAGGGAAGCACACTTAGTACAAGACCAGTATCGAAGAAGAGTGAATGTGTAAGCATTAAGATTATGAGATGAAGCTTTATATCAACGAGAACAAGGATTCAACTATTACCTTTGGCCATGCAATAATGGCGCCCTCTCGCTGTCTCCAGCAGTATCACTCCCATTAGCATCGTCGAGTTGCTGGCTTTTCTGGGCCTTTCTGTCTCTCAAGACAAAAGAGAGGCCCATGACTAGCAAGAAGCCTTGCAGGATACCCGTAAAGATGAACAGGCCCCATGCACTCCAGCCCCCAGGTCCCAGCCTCGCATAAAGACTGGCTGCAAAGACGAAGCTCCCCGGTGTTTGTATGCACATCATGGGAATAGACAAGCTGCCAGTTTCTTGCAGTCTCCATGTCATGAAGATCTGAGGGATGTACTGTATTGCAGCGAGGACCGTGGCAAGCAAGCCGAGGAAGTTGGCCCATCCGCGAACGTGTGAAGGAAGCGCGTATACGAAGACGACGGAGCCGATGAATGCAACGACGAAGAAGGCGAGCGACACACCCAGAACGAGCACTGCTTCTTTCCATGTGGGCATGTCTGTATCCTGTCCTTCTTCTACGTCTGGTGAGGAGCCTCGAGGGAAGAAGATGAGAAAGAGTAGCATACTGCTGGTTGTTAGAATCTGTAGTGCGCTCAACGGTTGATCGGGACCTACATGAAGAAGAAACAACTCCACTGCACACCGATTTGTACTATGCCGAGCATAGCGGCTGCGCATGGGAAGCTACCAATTTCTTTGCAGCATCCCATGTCCCTTGTGCTCTCCGGTAGAGTCAAGATGTTGGCGATGCTGGCCGTCCCAGACACAGTGCCCAGCAGGACAAACATGGGGCTGAGACCACGCGATGAGCGACGTGCTATGATCTTATAGTGTTGTGGAAGGTACGATACGAGGATACCGACGACTATGAAGCTAAGTCACGGGGCGGTTAGTTGTGTTTACTATGCGGCGCACCAGGTGAGCTTACACAGATACGCCGAAGTTGACCAAGTCGGGATACGCAAGTTCGGTACATCTTGGGTCGTCGGGATACATATTGACAGGACAGAATATTGTGGAGGAGGGATGGCCGTTGCTACATTTGCTATGGTTAGAAGACAGAGGTGACGGTCGCCGCCTGGGGATGCAAGCATGTGACGTAGGAAGGAGCTCGCTCGCACGCGTCGAGTGAACGCGGAGGAGGCGGCTAGCCCCGAGCGCTCCTGCCTCGGCTGCGCGTACCTGCCGCATCAACCATGGCCGACAGATGATGCTACAACAATCATCAACCCCATGATCCCCCGGATTCCCCGTCCTTTCCACAGGCCGACATGGAGTTCCTCCCAGCACTCCAGCATGGCATAGACGACCTCAAGCCCTCGCTCTTCGAACTCCTTTCCGAGCAGCAACTCGCATCGCTCCTGCCCCCATCGCTGCGCTACCTCCTCGCCATCACAACACCCCGATATCCGCGATACCTACTTCCCATACTCAATTCCTTCGATGAGGTCTACGCGCTGCTTATGCTGCTCGTCGAACGCCACTTCCTGCGCACATACGGCGGATCCTTTACCGAGAACTTCTACGGTCTCAAGCGCGCTCGGGTGCTGAGAGTGCGAGGAGGCGAGATACCGCGAGCACAACTAGGTGCATCTGACAGCGTGCGCGAGGCTGTCAAGCTGGGCAATGGCGATATCTGGAAGAATCTTGCCGTGCTCGTTGGCCTGCCGTGGCTGAAGAGGAAGTTCGACGAGGGCTACGACGTTCACGCTGCGCATGCGAACCTCCTGGGCCCTGGCTACAACCGGGATAGAGAAGGATTACAGGTCGGAGCGACTGTCAAGGAGCGACTGATGCACTACTACAAGTGGTTTCTACGGAACATATACCCCAGTGTGAATGCCGCCTACTACTTCTCCTTGCTGGCATTCAACATGGCATACCTCTTTGATGGCACAAAGTATCACTCGCCCTTCATGTGGTTGATCGGTTCACGGATACGGAGATTGGGCGAGGCAGACCACAGGGCGATTGAGATTGCAACCGCACCAAGAAAGGTTGGGCCTGCGCGGCCTGGAGAGGGCGGATCCATCTTCTCACCAAGAAACATTGCGAGGAGCATCGAGCCGCGGTTGTTGAGCTCGCTAAAGATACTTCTCCCGACCAGTATCTTTGCGCTCAAGTTTCTAGAGTGGTGGCATGCTTCAGACTTTGCCCGACAGCTATCGAGGAAAGCCGCTGAGAACATCGATCTCCCACCACCGATACTACCATCCCTTCCACCTTCTGCAAAGCAGCAATCGTCGAAGCAGGCAGAATCCTCCGAGAAGGCGCGTCCAGCATCGTCTTTGTCAGACAAACCCCAACGAATCGACCCTCCGATATCCTCAACCACCCTCCTCCCCATCCTCACCGTACCTACACCACCCTCATCAGCCTTGTGTCCGATCTGTGTTACACCCATCATAACTCCAACAGCCTCACCCACAGGATTCGTCTACTGCTACACTTGCATACACCGATGGGTTGGAGGTGAGCATGACCGCCAGCTCGCCTTCATGGAGGGTGCCGCAGGATTCCGAACGGGAGACGACGGGGAAGCAGAAGACGAGGGCTGGGGCAGGGAAGAAGGAAGCCGTGAAGGAAGATGGGAGAGCGGTAGAGGACGGGATGCTGTGACTGGAAGGAGAATCCTGGGAGGTACTGAGGGTTTGAGGAGAGTGGTTGTCTAATGTTCTTTTTGTACAATGATCATACCCTTTTAGCGAAATGATTTCCAATACTAGCAATGACACAATGCTTCTGGACCTCCAGAACCTCTGTTGTCGATCAATTCTGTTGTTAGGATCAAGAACTACATCTGATCGAGGTTGGGACTGGCATTTGGAAATGATGATTATCTGCCCTTCGGTGTGTTTACGTCCATGAAAGACTTTCTAGCTTTGGTATTGAGGTTGGCCCTTGAATGCTATGGTACTTGATGGCGCGTTCAAAATTGTACATCGGCCTTGTACGACCCATGGATCCGGTCGCAGCCTCATACGCTTGTGCATCAGTGCTGAATGATAAGATCAGCATCAGCCGATGATATCCTAACAACACCAATCGGCCCTGATCCTGCAGCACCACCAAAGGAATATAATCGTGCAGGTTGGAGTCACGACATGCGCCTTTTACTGCACTTGTCATGTGTCAAGCTATCTCGGCAAGGCGAAAGGGCGGAAGCTAATGTGCAAGTCGCTTTTTTCGCTTGTAGCTGCCGCATTAGACCATGCCGAAATCTGTCAGCCAATGCGATAGTCATAATGAGTGTTCATATCAGTCATTCCCCACTCTTTGACTTTTTGGTAGTCCTGCCTTCTACACTTCTTCCTCTTCTTCCAACCACCATCCATATGCCATTGAGTGGCACATCAACTCAAGGTCGGATTTGAAAGCCATGGCCCCACCAACGATACCACCGGAACAGCCGGTCAATGACTTTGCAAACGATGTCGCATCACAGATGGAGGGCTTTACCCAGTCGCAAGATATAGCAGAAGAAGCGATTGCACGGGATCGTGAAGAAGACAACTCGGCGTCCGAAGATGACAACGATTCTTCCTCGGGTTCGGATACAGTCAGGCAATATTCCATGATAAACTCTTATCGCCGGCCTTCCTACGTTAACCCAGGATCACGCGGTACAGCTATAATGTCTACCAGCGTACCTGAAAGGAGTCACCTACCAACGTCATGGAAGAAACACAGTCATTTGTCGAAGAAAGAGAGGGAGACCGTGCGAGACGAGGAGCGGAGCCTGCTCCGCGATAATCATTTGATTCCACCCAAGCATCCAAGAGCTGGAAGCGAAGGACCCTTTGACCGAGTACGATCTAGGATGTCTATTTCAGGGCTACGAAAGGTCAAGAGCACTCCGGACGAGGAGAGCGCAGTGGAGTCACCTTCTGAGCGCACGACGCTACTCGGGGTGTCAGAAGGCGATCCAAGCCAACCATATGGGGGCCTAGACTCACCAAAAACTATCAACAAGAAATGGAACGAGGCGGTTGCAGCGGGAAAGATCAACACAAGTTGGCAGCGGGAAGCAAAAGTTTTGACGAAGAGCTCCGCACCGCTCATCCTGACCTTCTTGCTACAATACAGCTTGCCAGTGGCGAGTATCTTCACAGTCGGGCATATCGGCAAAACTGAACTAGGAGCCGTGAGTCTGGCCAGTATGACTGCGTCCATAACGGGCTATGCAGTGTATCAGGGCCTGGCTACTTCACTCGACACGTTGTGTGCGCAAGCATACGGCTCTGGGCGTCCTCACCTTGTCGGTCTGCAACTGCAACGCATGTTGTACTTTCTGCTTTTGATTACCATCCCGATATCACTCATATGGGCTTTCGGCACACAGATTCTCTCGCTTATCGTTCCAGAGAAAGAGACCGCGCGCTTAGCCGGACTGTACCTGAAGGTTCTTATTGCTGGAGCACCTGGGTATGCAGCTTTTGAATCTGGGAAACGCTACGTACAGGCGCAAGGTATCTTCAGCGCGACCATGTACATTCTACTTATCTGCGCTCCACTCAACGCTTTCTTGAATTGGTTCATGGTCTGGCATCTTGGCTGGGGGTTCATCGGAGCACCCATTGCTGTCTCGATCACAGAGAACGTCCTTCCTCTGCTGCTCTTTCTCTATGTCAGATTCATTGACGGATACCAATGCTGGGGCGGTTTTGACAGAAGAGCGCTAAGAAATTGGATGCCCATGGTGAAGCTTGCGCTTCCTGGTCTGGTCATGGTGCTTGCAGAATTTCTAGCTTTCGAAATCCTGACATTAAGCTCGTCATGGCTTGGCCCAACGGAACTTGCAGCGCAGTCTGTACTCGGATCCATTACCGGTATTACTTTCCAGATACCCTTCCCAATGAGCGTAGCAGCCTCCACACGCATCGCCAACCTCATTGGAGCTACACTAGCAGTTCCAGCGAAAACAGCAGCTAAAGTCGCTGTCTGTGCCTCAATCGTCGTCGGCATCTTCAACCTCCTACTCCTTTCACTTCTTCGTGAGGCTATACCTCGCCTCTTCACACCCGACGAAGAAGTCATTGACATGGTGGCAAAGCTTCTCCCATTGTGTGCCACCTTCCAGGTCTTTGATGCTCTAGCGGCCAACTGTAACGGCATCTTGCGTGGCTTGGGTAGGCAGGAAATTGGTGGTTATGTTGGACTATTTGCCTACTATGTCGTCGGTATTCCAATCAGCTTCGGTACTGGGTTCGGGTCGCCGCATTGGGGTCTGTATGGACTTTGGAGTGTGAGTCTCACTAGTCACACCACAATCGGACTATGCTAACGTATCTTAGGGACCAGCGATTGCACTTGGTATCGTGGCTGCCATCGAAGGCGTTTTCATATGGCGGACCAGTTGGGATAAAGCAGTAGAGGATGCCAAGGTGCGAAATGCCGCAAACTAAGCTTGGTTACTACAGATATGTTCGTATCGCTGCATAATATTAGTTGTCACACCTAGACGAATCGTCCATCACCACACAACTCAGAGACACATTCTGGAAACTCGTGTAGTCTTGCGTTACATACTTTTAAGTAATACATTGATGTGAAATGAATGGTGGTAGGCTTCGGAGAAGCTTCATACTGGATACGAATGAGTGGCCGAGTTATACTTGCTCGCTATAACAGCGTTCGTTTTCGGTAACGACTGCTTTTCCCTCATAAAGTATGCCTGAAAGACCTGGTTCTCTTCTTATCTTCACTCTCAGTCAAGAAGCTTTTGGGCCCACGCCGCGCTCTCATACCAAGCGCGAACCCTCTTGCCAAACACATAGAGAGGAAGTGCAGCACCAGTAACAATGGCGGCCGCCGATGCCAGCGTTCCAAAGACGGCCATAGGCCCATCAAATTCGAGCCAACCAATCATCGGAGTCAGTCCTACCGTGACAGCGCCTGCTGAGATCATGTTGATGGAAGAAAAGGCCTGGGCGGAGTGCTCAGGGTGACAGTCGATGACATACGCGATGGCAATTTGTACTCCAGCGACACTACCCATGTTGGTGACTGTCATCCAAACAAGAATCCAAACTAGAGGCAAACTGTTTTGGAACGACGCGCCCAGACCGATGAGGCCCGCCATAGTGATTGGGGTAGAAACCAGGAGAAGTACGAGACGGAATTCGGGTTCGACCATGCCTTTGCTTGTTCCGTTGTGGCGCGCCATCAGATTCACTGAAGCATCAGACATCCAACCAAATAATGGCCCAGACAGTAGGCCAGCTACAAAGAGGGGTAAGTTGGTCAGTCCGATCTGACTGGGTGTTAGATCGTATGGGGGAGAGGATAAGAGGATTGACATGAAGGTTGACATGCCAGCAAGGAATAGGAAGACCGTAGTGTTCAGGAAGCAGCTGTATAAGACAATCGGCGAAGTGATGAGGCCTAGGGGCTTGATTATCCCTTTGAAGAACGACTTCTCTGATAGTCTGCCACGGGACAAGACTAGCCTCTCATTGTATGTTTGCCTAGGAGGTCGAACAGAAGACTTGAGATCTTCCTCGTCATATTCGGCGCTTAGCTTGTCCGCCTGAACATGAATTGTTGTGACATCGTCTGTTTTCCGTTTGAAGTAGGCCGACTCGAAGATTGTGAGGTAGAATACCGGGATCAGAGCAGCGTATATGAAGGCAGTGATGAGGAAATTTGCCGATACGCCGAATGCGTCAGTAACGAAGCCAGCAATGATTTGACTGAGAAGGATATTATGTTAGTTGCTGGTACGATTACAGGATATTGTTGTGGCTCACCCAACTTGCGCCCCAGAGTTCAACATCAGATTCCACACAGCAATAGACCGACCTCGCTGGTGAACGAAGAATACATCGCTGATGGTCGCGGTAAGGAGTGTAAATAGGGGTGCCGAAAAGAGACCCCCAGCTGTTCGAGCAATAGCCAGCATAGGAAATGTTGACGAAAGATAAGCAGCAAAGTTGGTTAGAGCAAGTAGAACGACGCTCCATACGTAGAATGGTCTTCGCCCCCAGACATCCGTTCCCGCCACCGCAACAAAGGCTGCAGCTGAGGTCCAGAAAGTCGGTGCTGTAAGGATCCAAGTAGATATGTCGCTCTCATTGCTCTGAAACTGCTCAGTAAGAGGCTCCAACCCTGGAGTGAGCATGGTAGTGGTTCTATGACAGATGAGCATAAGTCCTGATTAGATCAAGTAATTCGGCGAGATCTTACGCATTGGTGACTGCAGAGCCGAAAGCAAGGATGAGGAGATGGAGGCATTTCCACTTCAAACTCCAGTTGAGAGGATCGTTCGGGTCATCACTGGGCTGCGGGGAGAGTACGATACCGCCACTTCTCTTAGAGTTATCGAGCTCGGGTACTTTATCGTCGCTTGTGTCCTTGACTCCTAATCTGGAAGTGCCTCGAGGGAATGCTGACCGTCTACTCTCTAGTACACCCCACCCCATCGTTAGCAGCTTGGATGTCGGAATGAAGTCGATACGAAAAGGACGGCCTGCGTCTCTTGAATACAGAGATTATCTTAGTCAAGTGTGAAATAAAGTGATTGAATGAGGAAAAGCCGTCCAGCGGTTTGCCAAAACCAGTAGGCAACGAAGCGAAAAAATGTAATTGTAGAGGTAGGCGAAAGAAAAGTCGAGAGCCAGTCTGCAGAGCAAGTGCAACTCGTAAACCACGATGATATACTTCCTGATCCACA